TTGAACAAGTCTATAATGAATTATGAGCCAGTATCAGTCGTCAAGGTCCCTGGGACTCCAAACAACTTTCAGTCAAGTTATGCATTGTTTCCTAGTCAGTACATTTAGGCATACTATGTACTTCTGGTCACTTGGTAAATGCATCCACCGTAACTAGAAAACATTTACCTTGGGGTTGACGGGCGAAATATCCATGAAGTCTGTCCGAGAGTTTAGGATGCGTGGGCCAATGCTTAGGTTCGCATTTCGAAGTGTTTTGAGCAGCTTGAAGATATGATGGACAGTTGTCTTAAAATATGAGTCCTTTCAGCTTTCTCAACAAGTATCACGTGAAATGTAAGGTTTTTTTGACTGGAGTTTAGCGTCACAGTTTGGGACTCAGAGTTTTATTTAAAGAATCATCTGTTTCTTTTCCCTCCGTTATTATCAAAATTTTATGTACATTTGACAATATATCATCTTACTGTGTGCTAGACAATTCACTAATTTTACATTCTGCTTTGGAAAGAATTAGATTTGAAATTACTACAGAGGATGTTACCAAAATGTTCGTTACTGAACCACCGGGCAATATATGTAACTTATATCGTTCTTCTTGAAAGTTAACTCAGTCTTCGCACATCATGTCGTCATCGTCAGCTTCTTTAGTCAACTACAGACAATTATGCCGGACTCAAAATAGTGACATTTTTCCATGTAACGTTTGAAGAATTTAGTTTCGTAGAAATTGATTTCTTGTGCCTGATTAGGCAGGATATGGTGTTTAACCTTTTGTCGCTCTTTAAAACTAAGACACATCAACAGCAACTGTGAATTCTTTTCGACGTCCATAGCGGCGAATCCTCTTCGCACAATATTCCCTGTTCTGCCATGCCTTGTCTAAAATTACGACTACTATATGAGATAGGAATGTGTGCCTTCATGTTCTGGGATATTTGGTTAAGTCGAGAATCCTAAAACAACAGTTGCTGTTGAATATCTAACATCTGCTGCTGTAATAATAGCTGCAGTTGTTCGGAAGGGATTCCATTGTTGTCTAGCTTCAATTGACTTATGATTTCAACTATTGAAATTCAATATTTGTGTCGAAACTATTATCTTAAGTATTTTTTATCTTTAGAAAGTGTCCAACAATTGTCATGCTTGGTTTTTTCGAAATATAAGTCTCAAATTGATGTAGCTTTCTATTATCACATTAAGATAAACAAGTTACTTACTTATTTTGGGTAGGCGTGATATTTTGGTTAGCCAGCAATGACCATTGAATGGATTATGTCACCGACTGAATATCGACGTCCCTACATAGAATAAAATACAGCGTAATTAACTATTCTCATCACCACACTGAATCTAGTAAACGAACAATGGCATCGAAATACTTTTAACAACAAATACAGCGAATTGGTATTTTAAGGTCAAGTTTAATTTCACTTCTCTCAGGTAATACAATGCCTTATTGGAACCACAGTGTTCAGTACTAGGGCATCTTTTCTTGGTTTATATAAACGATTTTTCACAATATGTATCGTTTGACATTACTTTTTGCTGATGATGTGAAACTTTGGAGAGAGAGAGATAGGCAACTAAGAGGATATACTGACCCTTCAGGAGGATCTGACTCGACTTCAAAGTTAGACAGATGACAACGGACTTTAGAACTTCAAAATGAAAAGTAGTCCACCTGAGACGTGTTGCCGACTACAACTATAAATAAGGCATCTATTCTCTAGAAGCGTCCAAGCCAAGCGTCTCCAATGGCAAAATATTTACCTATTAGAGTGCAGGCATCTCAGATGTGACCTTCTCACGGCTTTCGGTATCCTCAACATTCCTGGACATTTCAAACACCTACTTAAGTTTAGTTCCAACACAAACCTAAAAGGCGACACCCAGAAATTGGAGACTCAGCACAACGGAACGGATAGTAGACCTGTAGAACTATGGTCTACTTTGATGTCCGTACTGCGCTTATAATAGAACTAATCCTAAAATTATGGACTTGTCATGATATAAATGCCTAATCTATAAGATCTTACGTGGAAGTTACACCATCGTCTACACCAACTCATTGCATCAGAACAATTATCAGTACATGATGGAGAACAAGCTCAGGCTAGAGATAGGACAATATATTTAATACGAATAAAAGATATAAGATAACAGGGACCACGCCTGCATGGCCGAGCAATGACATTCAATCAACTCCAACTCATTCAATTCCTTGTTCGCGCCTTCTCCGTCGTTAGGTATTTCCCCGCGTTAAACATTGAATATCTATTTTCTGAGTAGTCTCGTGTTCAGCTTTGAAGATTGTGTGGTTATTGTCCAATGACACTACAGACCCACCCTCTACTTAAGAGCTGTCAAATGCTGAAATTCGTTGCCGGTTGTGCTAGTACAAGCGACTTCCCAGAAGTAGTTTAAAAGGAAACTTGACCTATTCTTGAGGACTATGGATAAAACCTACCATGATTTTTTAGTTTCATTTTCCTCTATAATCGTTAATATACCCGGGTTCTTGCCTGAACGTATTGGTGATTCATCGCTATTGGACACAGAATCCCGTTAAGCGAAGGCTTCTTCTATTCCGTCCACAACCGTTTGAAACATTTGAGTTTGTTCACTGATGCAGCAATCCTGACATGATGTCAATAATAACTGTCAAAAGATCAATAATAAGAATAAACGTCTACATAGTTTCATTTTATATTCTCGCTGACTGGATTCCAGCTACTAGTTGCAGCCACGACTTAGGTCACAGCGTGACGATACTGGTGCCGGAAAACGAAAGGTTGTCACGAACAAACATAATCTTTCCGCTAGGTTGATTTATTGATGCTATGTATCCTCGTGGGCTATCAGTTCTACTCGTAGACTGTCAAAAAATACTACTCTTCATGTATGGATTATTTTTCACTGTTTTATGGTAACTAATTCTTTTTTTAGAGTCACAAAGAGCATTTGCTTTCGAATTAGGATCAATCTTTCGTGCATGTTTGTACCCCTAGTTCTATTGATGGGAGAAACCAAACATATAGTGAGTAGGTATTTGATTGGGTCGTATGCATTACAGTTGGAGTGTTAGGAAATAAGACTTCGATACAAAAATAAGGAAGTAAATAAATACTTGAGCTATAATATTCTGACACTACTAAGATGTTTGCATTATTATGGAAATTTCTTCCCTCATAAATATACATGGCAGGTAGATTGTGTACGTTTTTAAGACTTCTTGATAAGGCTGTCGTTTGCGCTGATCTGCTGTGCCCGGAAACGTCTGCAACCTACTCAAACATCATATGCCCCCAACATGTCTAAACCATATCAAACTATAAGTTTTATTTGCCTCTCTTTTATCATTTGCAGTTGTAAAAAATATGTCTCCATAGTTATTCGTCACTCCTTAATTTTTACTTGGAATGGACAGATAACTCACTAGACCTACTGGTATCTCCTAACTTTTGTCGGCCTCAAAGGGGCACTCACTACTACTACTTTGTTCGACATTCTGTGAGTCAGATATGGAAGCAGACTGGTTGGCCGAGGCATTAGCTGGATATTTCTTAGTGTCTGGTCTTTTCTGTGTTTTCGATGTTCAAGTCTGAGTCTCTTTAGCTTCGTTGATGTTGCTTTTTTAAACCCCAGTACTTCTTCCGGGCATCGTTGCACTGAATGAAAACTGAGGTATGGAAAACCAATCTATTGTTTAATGCGAAACTGCACAGTGTTTTCGTAAAATATGAAAATTATATATAAAATACTTCATTTGACAGTTCCTTCGCATAGTTATTTACATACCACACTATCCCTGTAATTCTACTGTCATTCTACTTGCCCTCTGTTTCCCTTATTATCCTTCCCAATTCAATTTTTTGATGGCATGCATTCCATTTCTGATTGGTGCTACCTAGTTCTTATATCTGTCAGCACAAGCAGCATAAATCATACTACTACTGTGGCTAACTGTGACCGGTCGTTAATGATACCCACTTTCTATGCGCCTGCTGTTACATCACTGATACAATTGGAGTCTATTCCTCTCGTGCTATTTCGCTTCTCCTCAATTATGTTCTGTTACACGTTCATCTTTTCAATTTTACAGATGATTAACGCTGCAACACTGTCCGAAGACAAATATTGCTTTGCACTATGCATTCAACATTCATATGACAGGTCAAAAGTATACCAGAGGGGGGAGAGCGACCGAGCGTTTTGTAACTAGCCGCCGCATAACTTTTTCGTTTCGTTTATCGGTTCGCATACGACAAGTGAAAGCAAACTAGCATCCGGCCTGATACAAGTGTTTCGGTGGTCGTGATAAGCAACGAGTCGTAGGTGGAGATATTAACCAAGACGGTGTGTTAGCAGTATCCAACAGTGGAAAAAATAGATAAGCGAAAGTTTTGTTCCTGAAAAATTGCTGACATTAAATAATAAGCTAAAGCCATTACACAGTTAACTATTAAATTAAATGATATATGACAGAGAAGTATACGAAACAATAATATTCGAGTAAGTATTTTTACTGATATCAGTAATTAAGTCAAGTATGTAAGAAATAAGTCTGAGAGAAAAGTTAATCATATCATTATAACAACCCCAGTCCGTGAGAGTCGACTAAACGATAAAATGAGAAAAGAGAAACGCAAACCTTATTTTTTTCGATTCCTTGTCGTCTAATTTATTTTATATCGCATTACGCAATACTAACTCCTAGTTCCCGAAGCAACTTAATTCCACATTTTGTTTGGCGCTGATAAGTGGTAGCGCGCACAATGAAACTAGTTGCATATGAATGTACTTCGCTCAGCTGTTTTCCACTTGGTCTTTCACGGTTAGTAGTTTTTGTAGTGAAACAGAATATTTTAGAATTCAGATTGAATGAAGAAAGAATTCTCGTTTTAATCAACTAGAGCTTCTGAAAATGTGTTTTTTATACTAACTGAGTGTTAATTAATATACATTGTTTCTGAAGATATTTGTACATACTGGCTCAGACAATGGGTAAAAGTTATTGAAAACTATTTCAAGATATAGATTTCAAAAATCCATGGGAAGATTTTATTTTCGACCAGACAGTCGATAATATTAGTCAGTTTGTGTAATAATTATATGCTTGATTTGTAGATGAATCCTCTGACTGTTTTAACAATATAAAGCTTAGCAGTAAGTTTATTTTGCAGAGAAAACACTCCTATACAGACTTTCCATTTCTCAAAAGTCAGTTTTCCTCCATTGACTATCTCATAAAGTGTGAATTATGCAATGTTATGCTTCTTCCGGAGAGCATTTCTGTGCATTATGGTTTGTTTATTTTATTTAAATTGTATGATAATTTTTATTACTAGACGACCGGCACTCAGAGCCCCCAAAGTCTGTCGGTTCTGCTGTCTTGCCATACGAAGCTGTTTCTTGGTGTGAATGTCAGGCTGAAATTGATTCCAAAAAGGATCGGACTTCCAAACGTACTAAGGTCGCGCCTCTCAAGCGTTCTAAACGCAACACACCTAACCCCTCAGATGCCGCGCCTTATTCAATTAAAATGGACATATCGAAAACAGTTATTACAAGTCGAGAAGTAGAAAAGACCAGTCATGAGGAACTTAGAGAACCAGTTTTGTTGAAATTAGCAAAATCAGATGGAAGAATATCTCAAAATGAGGAAGTGTCCAAAAAGCCTTTAAGGACACCTGCAGAGAGTAAACTCAATGAGCGATCTGTGTGGTCGGTTGTTTGTCCAAGAGAGCATTCTGCTGGTAATTTTTATGAACTCACCTCCAAAGGTCAGGTTGAGGAAAGTCGACACCTGGGGAAAGATATGTTTGAGTGCCGATCAAGTTTTAATCATTCTAATGATTCTGGCATCGGATCTCAAGCACATTCAGTTTTTCGCTGTTCATCATATCCCCCGACACCTTCATTGTCTCCACATCTTCCAAGTTCTAGTCCATCAAATGTTTCTGATGACACGACATTTGGTTTCAACCAGTTCCGGCCTGAAGTTGCAAACCGACCTGTTTCACGCTCATCCCACTCTAGTTCTAGCAGTGGAATCGGTATTTCTGATCAGCACAATACTGATTCTAGCATTACTATTCCAACAACAATTTTCAATGTAAATAGTACAAAAGCAGTCACTTCACTTCCTTTATCAGACATAAAGTCAACTGCCAAATGCAAGGTTAAGTGCAAGCTCTCGACGGTTTGCCTTCGGAACAACGTCCCTCTATGTTCCACTTCCTCTCAACCGGTGATCTCGGGTGAGGCATTGACTAAAGTGCATCCCAGTAGGGAAGTAGAGTCAGCTGTACATCATCTAAAAAACAATCGTCAAGAATTCGATGGTAAATTAATTAGTAGTGAGTTGAGGCGGAATGGTTTCCATAGCTGGATTACTGGTGAACGACCGACGTCATTAGATGCCACACACAAAGCCGATAACGTTAGACGTTTATTGGCATTTCAACGGCTATCAACCCAAGAAATCAAACAATTCTATTGCAACAAGCCCCTAGACAGATAAAGAGTGTGCATTTAGCACCTTCTTTCATCTCACAATATTATCAAACAGAAAATTTGGAAGGGAATGAAGCTTCTACTTCGAGTGACACTAATCGATTTGTCCAACCAAATATTTTAATACAACCAGAAAAGTCCTCAAAACTAGACGTGGTAAATGATAGTTCATCTCGGATTAACTGGCCTCCAGAATCTATAATTTCTGGTCCCTCTAGCAATATGGCTAGGAGTACTGGCGAATTGCAAGAATTCTTGGAAGAGCTAGGTAGATTTAATTGTTTGCTTTGTTTACTATAATGTTCGGCAAATTTTTGTCTATTTACACTACACAAAATCAGTTCAATGGGTATTTCTAGATAAAATATTGTAAATGGATTTTTCATATAATTACCATATATCCATGATTTCTCGAAATTTTTTTCGATCTATCTCTGCACATTTGCTAGAAATACTGACAATTAATTCACTTTCAGCTTTGACTATTAAAACAGTGGATGTAAGATTATAGTGAGCAATTCATTTAGGCTATGGCTGATGTCAAGTTGCTCACTACTTACCAACAACTTTAATGAAATTAGCATCAACCTCTCAATGGGTCATTATGAGTCAATTCTAGAGGTTGTTAGGTATAATGGTTCGGTCATTACAGTGAGACCAAATATCACTTTGAGAGGTCGATGTAATACCACGGAATTCGTCACAATCGCTGTTCACATTTTATGATAACCATTAGCTGTGCTTTTATGGTTATCATGTCCGATCAACAGTTCTGTAATTTTCCGGCTCTCAACTTATGGAGCAACGTGGGGATAAGCAGGGAATACTCGGGCCTACTCACGAATGTAGGAACTGATATCTTATCGACGTAAAGTATGCCTTAATTGGCGATGTGTTGGATACATTTTTCTTCTAAGTATAGAATGTTTATTCCAGAATGGTCTAAGTTTAAACGTGGAAAGGAAATGAGATTCTATCGTGATATGACTCGAAATAGATCTCATTAGTGCAGTTTCATTTTCTTATTTACCACCGAATCTTGTAAATTCTTATGTTAATCTCCATTAACATTGGTACTTATATGTACGCACATTTTCCCATCGTCACCCTTGCTAACTGATACTTCTACTATACTAAGGGAGTTGTGGACACTTGGGCTGATCCTCATTTATATCAGATCTTCCGTGTTTTTGGTCGACTGATATTTAGTCCCTATGTTGTTGTGCAATCAGGAATCAGTAGCACAACTAAAAAACCATGTAAACTGCCGGATCTAATCTAATAGATTACTATGGTATTCATGACCGCCATCCTCTCTCTCTCTCTCGATATATATATATATATATATATATATATATATATATATATATACTATTGACAGTGTCAAATCATTTTATTACAATCAAAAAAAGAAATAGTAACTAAAACGATTACTGGAAAATTAGACTTGTCAATCCTAAACAAATATTTCTGTCTCTTTTGTTCGTAACATGTTTTTAGTGTTGACTATAGTAGTGGGATAGAAGCCTAAGAATCCAATATATGTCAAATAAAATTTCCAAAGCACACTTTACAGTTTTGGATATGGGCCATTTGAAATATGATTAACTGGTTAGATTAAAATATGATGAACTACAAAATCGTTACTTGTTTTCAGCATTTCGTATTACCGAAATTATGAAAGAGATGTTTAATAAAGGCTGCACAACATTTTTCATCCGATTCTGCTCTTGCAACTTAGAAGCCATCATTTTTGTTTTAATGCGCTTATTCTTCACTGAATAACTTATATAATGACAATAATAACAAAAAACTTGTCAGCATAACTTCCGTGCTATTGAGATGATTGGTATAAATGCACTTAATTTTTGTGAAACTATTTTAGGTGGGTTATTACTAAAAGAACCGGGTTATATAAGTTGATGTTGTGTTTATCGATCTGAACAAAAGTTTTTGGTTGATGTTAATTTACTACAGGATCCAATTTATCTTTGCCTTTTTTTCAGAGGATACATTTGATCCTCTTACTCAGTGTGGCTGCTTGGAAATGGATGATATCAGGTGTAGAAATTCTATTTTATGTACGGTAAGTTTTTATTTCATCTATCGATTTGAGTTGATTCTACTTATCTTCTGTTTTGCTTATTTGCCGACTGAGATTTTCAACACTATGCATCTTTTACTAAGTTTACTAGATTGTCAATATTAATACCATAATGAACTAATAATCGTTTTCCAACCACTTATCCGATCTTTTCCTCCAGGAAGACGTTTCTTGCTTATTTGACTATGGTTTGCGATATAATATTTAAAATAGATAGATACTAAATCTTTGTTCCTCTATATGACTTAGGAAAATATGAATTTATCTCGTCATACAGTGTGTAGTTATTCTACAATATACTAAATAGGTTTTAAGGTTTATTTATTTTATTTATTTATTTCAACACATAGATATTGGTACAAAGAGGCACCAGATACATATGCGCCACACAAATCTCATTCGATATGTGTGAGGGCTGTGATACTGACCGGGTGCCCAAACCGAAGCAGGTGGTTTTCTTAGGGGGCCACACCCCGAGCCTTTGACCTGATGGTCTAACCCACAAGGCAGTGGAGCATCGTATGGAGATGCAGTCCCATGGAAGCCGGTGACCATTTATAGGTTGTTATCTCAGCGTGTTCCTCTAGAAAAAATAAAAAATCCCTTGATATCTTGTTTCAGTAATCTTTAATATACCTTCGACTTCCTCGTTATTTCTGTGTCAATCCGTTCCTGTTCGAGTTGAGATAGTTTGTTGGGTTTATGCATTAAATTTTTCTATGTGTAATTAGTTGAAGTTTGAATGATACATCTCATTTGTTGTGAGTGGTTTTCCATTGAATTCAGTTTTTTGGTTTCTGTCCGGTTTTTATGATCTTTTGTCTCAATGAACTTCTTTAAAACTCTTTCGTCCAGGTCGGTTTCATGAAAATATCTTTCAATAACTAGGTTTTTAACACCAAAATGACTGCACAGCTTTTATGTGTTAGTTTTTCATGAAATATGCTATTTTAGTCCTTTTTGAATTAAACAAGTGTACAACTTATTGCCTACTGCTAAATAATGTTTTAAGATTTGTTCTTGTAGAATATATTTTTTTGATTGGTGGATATATGATATTCAAATTAATGTTTTTCTGTAGTATTTAATCATTGATTATAATGCTGGTTTATTCAACACCATATGTTCAATTACGGTAAAGAATTCTCAGCATAAAACATGCAACTTCACAATAAAACTCCCTCATTTAACTTTTAAATACTCAAAAGTATGTATAAAAAGTCATTAAACGATCATTAGTGGTCATCCATATTCATCTATAAATGTTTACGATCAGTTTCGCTCTCATGAATCCTCATTTTTGAATATACTTAAAACATAAATTTTAAAATGATCGCTTCTAGTTTCTCCAAGAGCCAGGATAAGTAGAAGAAAAGTATAGGAATTACCGTGTTTGTGCTTCTTGAGTTTTTTTCGCAATTAAATTCTTGGTAAGTTGTAAAAGTTTTATGAGACGTAATTATATGTGGTTAGCAGAAATAATAAACTAGAACGAATCTAAACCCAAATAGTTTGTGGGAGTCAATGTACTATTGGAAAAATGGTGGCTCGGATGTTCGACCAGGTCACTTTATTTTGATAATTTTACTAAGTGTAGTGGTTTTGTGGAACGAGTTTTATGCTAAAATTTGTAGATATGTATGATTAACAATTCAACCGAATCACAAGACCAAATTCGCGTGGATCTGTGAAGCTGATGGAATGCCAATCAATAATATGTATTGATCATATCTTCACCCTCCTTCAAATGTTAGAAAACCGCCATACTTATTGCAGGCCAACGATCATGGTGTTCTTGATATTTGAGTCTCCTTCAATTCGTTGGACAGTGCTTTTCTCTTGGGTTACCTATTGTAAAAAGGTGTGTTTGAGAAAGTTATCAACATCTCGAAAGCCCTATATAAAGACACCTCAGGCAAAGTGAGGCATACAACAACCCCTCCCCATTGTTTCATTCAAGCATTGGGGTTAGTAAGGGTTGCCTAATCTCACAGTTTGGATCTATAAAGCGTTGATGAGAGCAGTTTGATCTGCGCTTGTGAAACTTGAACTCTCTTAGTCGGGGATATTAATGACTCTCTGTGTTTGATCGTCGTTGCTTCTGAAGGATTGGTGATATTCAGTAGCAATACCAGGTTAGTAATACTGAGGTTCGGCATCGTGTGTTCGGGCGCAGCGATAATAATTCAGTTGCTGTCATCATCTTGAAACACCAACTTCAGTGGCTTGGACATGTCCTACGAATGTCGGCCCCGTGAATCCCACATCGTGTATTATATGCCGACACTAGGAATGGTTGAAGAAAGCGTAGAGATGATCAGTTTATGACATAGTGTCGTGGCATGGAAGAAAGCTATGCAGGTCTGGTTGATTTGGTCAATCACGACTCTACGGTTGGGGTCCTAGAGATGGTGCAACACAGTGGCTTGAGACATCAGACATCGATCAGAGTGGAGACAAGTAGTGACCCTGCGGTTAATTTTTTTTTGCTTTTTTTCATAACAGGAAGAGTAACTTCTATAACTGAAAGACTTTTTCTGGTTATATTTTTGCTAACTGAACTTTTACAATTGATTGATTACTGGGTGGTGATCAATGTCATGTATGTCAAATCCTTCTTAGTGCAGAGCGAATCCTGTCGACCAACTTGCAATGTTTTCACTAGTATAGGTGACTCGACATTTCGTGCACTATGCTAAGATGGTGGTTGATCAATCAATTGTAAATGCATCCCAGTCCTACAGGAGGTTAGTCGCGTCCCGGATAGCTCAGTTATAACGTCTCTGACTGAAGCTGGGTGACACGAGATCGAATCTGTCAGGGAACATCAGTTCCCTCAAGATTACAAGTACGCTTGCCGTTGAGTGCTAAATAGCACGAAATCTAGGTCTCGGGTCTCCTGTCGACTGCCTCAAACCACCAGCTAACTGAACTGTTTCCCCTATTATTATTATTATTATTATTATTATTATTTCACTCACACTAATTTATATTCGATTGTGTTCTTTTTCATTATACTCACTTCCCTTCCTTTGTCTCTTGACAACATTATTGTGTGGTGCATACATATTTTGGTGTCCCGTTGTACCAATGTTCATGTGTTCAAATAAATAATAATAGATTAATTGGAAAAGATGTTTCATTATGTCAAGTATGACGAATACTATTACAAAATTACTCCTTTGTTATTTAGATTAAAATTGCCAGATTACAAATGTTTTTAATTTACTGATATGAATAAAAGATTGATAAGCGCAATATTGTTAATGATAGTGAAGGTTATGCTAATGTTCGGATTAAAAAAATGTAGTTGAATGTTGATGAATTTTGAAGTAGTTCTAGCAATTTCTGTTATTCACAATTCTTATTAATCTTAAATAGAAAATTCCTATCGATTTCTGCCTTCGGCTATACATTTATCATATTAAGAACGATTAGTTTTTTTTTAAATAGATTTTATGTTGCAGTAACAGATAATTCCCGCCGGAGGAGGTGACTAGTACAACAGTAATATGCTCTAGAGTATTATCCATAAATGAATGAATTAATTAATGATCTGCAAATACAAGATAATATTACAATGAATGCAACCACACACCCATAATCCAAAAGCACTTTAATCTGTATCATTTCAGAATGCCCATTATTAATCAGTTGCCTTTAGAATAAACATTTTGTACGTCCAGTGTTACTGTAGTGTACTATTAGAAGAATTTATAACTTCCAAAACGTAATTGCTCCAACCTAGTAAATATACTTACCGTAGTACTTTTTGTTTAATTACGCGTTGTCTACAAATCTAATGAAACTTAGTTTTGTCATCTCAAATTTTTCTCAATTATTAAAGGAAAATAAACACTTTTGTAGTAATAAAGTAAAAAAGTTTGTACGTAATTTTAAAATAATGCCAAAATTCAATCTTTTCATCTAACAACTATTCATATTAATTGTGCTTACGTTTACTAGATACAACTGAAAAACTTTGTTGTACAATTTGTATTCACTAAGTCGTTATGTGCTTTTTTCTATTGATCTTTTCTCACATTCCATTCTAGCGTATTACTGGAATGTTCCTAGAAAACGTAAATTGACTGTTTATTTCATGTATGGTGGCTCAATAGTTAGGCAATTCAACTTTCAGACATTAAGTTATAGGTTTCAACCATGATCCACCTACTTCATTTTGGGAAACCAAATAGTGTTTCGTTGGAACCACGAATCGATCTAAGTTAGACTACTATTGAAAAACTGGGAGCACTGGACAACCGTTTTGTCCTGGTATGGGACTGCGAGGTTGTGGAGGTGAACCATCGATGAGTTCACGATTTCAGTGAAATTCAACAATCTCCGCAATCCTACTATGACAACCAAATTATACCACTAACCCTCACATTTAAAGTGTGGCTCAAAACCAAGTATCTATATAATCAATAGCCGTCATACAAATTAACTTAGACTTGAATAAATAAAGTGTATATTTGATGATTTAATTAAAACAAAGTCCATATATCATAAATATATTTAATTTACTGGATATTATCAAACTATTTTTTTTTCAAGAAGTGGCCGGGGCTTCATGATTAATATGCTTGTTCACTAGTTAATAGATTTCAGGCCTTAACTCCTTAATCAACTATAATTTGGTCAATCATAAATACCTGTATTTTTTAACTTTTAGTTTACAATAAATTACTGACTTTTGTCATAATCAAAATTCCAAGTTTGTCTTCTAATTCTATCACTTACGTTCGAATATTCTAAAGTTAACATTCTATCTATTAACATAGCATATCGTTTTGTTTTCCATCATGCTTATCTGTCAACTTAGTTTCGACTGCTTTATCATTGGAATAGAAAGACTTTTACGTGTAATGCTTATTTTTATGAGTTTACTTCTGTCAGCTGTGAACTTTGTGGCATTTCAGTTGTGCAACGTTCAGATAGGAATCTATTTTACATACAAAATCGATTTGTAAATTTTTACCGTAGCATATTGTTAAATGGAAGTAACTAATAGCTACCAGTTAGTAAAACAAATTGGATATTACCTATTGGTTATCACATAATTCATATAAATATTTTCCTCCAGGTACATACAATTGAGGAGAAACGTAGGGTCCCCCGTCAACATGATTTACGTTATCTTATGCGAGAAGCAAGGAAAAAACAACAAATCTTAAGGTTAGTTGAAATTTTTTCTAACATAGTATCAGTCAGTATTCATCAATTATGGAGGCGCATTTTCTCCTTAGTCTTAAAACTCCATATTGTGAATCAGAACAACATACATAAGTGAACAATATTGTTTTCGACTAGATCCTCACCAGACTTTAATATACAGTAATATTTATATGCATCTACGAAATTATTAAACCAATCAAGGCAGTCAATGCTTCAGTGATAACAGCGGAATAGATTACATAAATAAATGTAATAATAAAAGTACGAATTGATAGTGTGATGACAGATGTACTAGTTGTGATAAGAATAACAAAGGCTTAAATAAATGTTTCATAATGTGAAATAGGTCGATGACTTGAAAATCTAGATGCTGAAATAACATTCATAAAAACCATAAGATTACGTAATAAGAAGTGTTCATATGATTTGACAATGAAAAGTATATTTGGAAGAAAAAAGGTAAAGAAAATTAAACAAAGAATATGGTAAATAATAATAAAATTTTTTATTAAGACTGTTTCGGTCAAGGTTGTGATAAAGGTGCTACAAATTTCTTACGAACACAAAGACTTGGATTGTTAGCCCGAATTCTCATAGCTCCTGCTATGTGTAAGAGACGAGGTTGAACCCCATAAAGAATACTAGTACGAATACCATATATCGATTTAAACGACCTATTTCTATCTGCTGTATGACCGCTATCGTTCAAATGTTATAGAACAGAGCTGTATATTGCTTTGACGATACTCTTTACCTATCACGAAAGGATATTTATCTATTTGAACAGATAAATATTGATACAAAGGAGCACCGAATACATTTGCGCCACACAAGTCACTTGATTTGTTTGCACAAACCGAAGCAGATGGTTTTCTTAGAAGGTCACACTCGGAGCCTTCGATCTAATGGTCTGATTCACAAGACAGTGGAGAAACATTAGAAGATGCAGTCCCATGATAGCCGGTGACCAACAATAGGTTTGTTCCCTCAAGATCCTGGAGCTCATGTGGTTTGGAACCTGGGTTTTCCAACTCCCACACGTGGACTCTCCGTGTACACCGACCTGGTTAAATCGCCGGACATTCGCTTTTCGTCCTCTCAATTCCTTAAACAAAAGTAATGCCGCGAGCAGATAGTGAGTAGAACTTCCCTGGCAGTGGCTGTATACATGTAGCCATGTGAGAGCATTTCGTGAGGGAGAGCCGACTCTCCCTACCCTCGGCCGTACCAGGGTATTTGGGGGAAAACCACCAAAGGATGTGTTCACTAACTTGTTGGCTTAGTTGTCTGGTTGTGCGGCCAATATAGCTTTCTCCACAGGAGCAGCTGAATTCATAGATACAGATTGATGTAACAGAACCAGGTAACTTATCCTTTAGTTGAGGAATCACCATAGATCGGGTCGAGAACGATAGACAGAGATTAGGTGCACTAAGATTTCTCTCCATTACTCGAGTCTGTTTATCCCATAGCACAATGCCAGCTATATCTCCGTTGAATTATTGCGCCAGAAAGTGAGGTTTCTTACTAGCTGTTAGTGTCGCTATTTTCCTGTACATTAAATTCATGTCTTCAGAAACTTTGTGGACAACCCATTTCAACCAGCATATGAATAAGCTCTAGTTCTTTGTTCATCGTGTCGTCTGAGTACATCTTCTTAGCTCTATTTGCAAGACGTCCAACTAGGTTTCTCTTGTAATGAATAGATACAAAGCTCAAGAAATGTGTATACTGGCTGTCTGAAGAACTTTACCCATACATACGTCTACTGATAGGACCACTTTGTTTTCTGCCTAACAAAACGTCGTTGGTGGATATGGAGGGTCCATCTAGAGGAGATGGAAAACCCTGATTCCAAACCAATGGTACACATGGGTTCCAGAATCGTGAGGGAACAAATGGCGTATGGACCAATTGTTGGTCACCGGCTTCCATGGGACTGCATCTCCATACGATGCTCCACTGCTTTGTGGATCAGACCTCCAGGTCGAAGGCTCCGGCTGTGGCCTCCTAAGAAAACCACCTGTTTCGGTCTGGGCATTCGAACAGTACTCCAGCCCTCACACAAACCGAATGATTTATGTGGCGCATACTTACATTTGGTGCCTCCATGTATCGATCTTTATGTGTTTAAATTAATGTTTAAATGAATAAATAACAAATCGTCGAGGAAATGTAGTTTGTTATTAAGTTTCTCTTCACACGTAAATCTGATAACTGAGTCTTTGTTGTCAATTAGTTCTAAGAGTTATTCTTTTCCAATGTTGTGATCGACAATAATGGAAGTATCATCAATGTAATGGCAATAAAGACAAACTTATCCGTAACCCTTTTGAGAGGTTTGTTTTCTAGTTTCGAGTGAAAAAAATCAACATGGATAGGACCTAGAGGTGAATCCATTGCTATTCCATCAATTTGTGTATAATATGTTACTAAAGACTAAATGAACGTTGACACATTTATTTAAGCCTTTGTTATTCTTATCACAACTAGTACATCTGTCATCACACTATCAATTCGTACTTTTATTATTACATTTATTTATGTAATCTATTCCGCTGTTATCACTGAAGCATTGACTGCCTTGATTGGTTTAATAATTTCGTAGATGCATATAAATATTACTGTATATTAAAGTCTGGTGAGGATCTAGTCGAAAACAATATTGTTCACTTATGTAGTTTGTTCTATCCTTATCGAGTTTACAGTGTTAAATATCATATATGAGATAATCTCTTTCGATGCCATCCATTGACTATTAAGGTAATGTAAATCATTGCCCAAAAATATTTCTTTTCACTTTTATTAAATCTAGAAATTAGTCATTTATCTAACTGAATTGCTGCGTCTGAGAATAAACATTTTCTGTACAGTAGATGTTTATACAAAACTAGAAGTCAGATGAAAAATTTACTCTGTCCATCTTCCCGTACTGTACTAAATATAATATATCAATTTCTCTCAATTTTTTATAATTTATAATAAGAGAGAAACCAATATATTTTTGAGCATAAAATAATTGCAGTAAATGAGTAATCGGTAATTATTGTCTATCGTGTTTTGGTTTAAAGCGTACTTTTGTTGTCGACTATTGTCGAGGTGGAATTTTTTGATGATTTGTCTAAATAATGACTTTCTCATTGTAAGTTCATTGTCGTTGGTTTGTACACAATAGTTACAGTCAATTTTTGATCTGTTGTGTTTATTGAAAACTTTTGTTCAGAGTTTTACTAATTGAATTTTTCTTAGAAAACACCTGATATTTATTTGATTTTTTATTGCATAATTTACTTTTCCAGACAAGTACCAAACACTCCCTGTCAACAATTTCCATGGACTGTACAAACCTCTGGTTCGCCTAATACAGTCATTGACCTCACTGATGATGTTAGTAGTAATGAAAGTTTCTGTGAAACTCCAGGAGTGTTAACTTATCAAACACCTCGAGTTCCAAATCATTCACAGCTATTGCGTCATAATACAACGCTTTCTGCATATGATACACAAGGTCGGTGTCAAATATATCCCAACTCACTTAACTCAAATGGTCCTATAGATTTGAGATATGTATCAAACAAACTGACGGCTAGATTACATCAACGAAATAAAACAGTTGTCATCGCCCAGCCATGTGCTATTGATATCAGACCACAAACAGAATCTTTTTTGTCTTACTCACCTCAAATCGCATCTATCAACTCCACTCTTGATATGCATCACTTTCAATTTAATTCAATGGGATCAGGAACAACACAAACGGGAGAATATCTTAGTGAATCCAACACACCCAATATAGTTATGTATCCTAATCGTAAACAAACATCTGGTTATTCATCAACCTCTTATTCGAATGCCAGATTGATAAATGAACCTCAGTATGCTGCTCAAAGTCATTGTCTGTCTACCTGTCAACCTGCACAACCTTGGGCTAATCGACTGAGCCGTTATCCCATTGAAGGTTCTGCCGATACAACCATCAATTTGGATAATCTTATCACTAGTGAAGATTTGTGCTCAGAAGAACATTTTGATGATCCTTCCCATGAAATAAATTTACCTCGAAAAGTACATGTTCCGTTTGTTGATGAAACACCCCCTAATTTTGGTCCTATTACTACTTCTACAACAACAACTACTACTACTCTGTTCCCACACTTGTCATTAAACACTCGCAAATTACAAGAAAGTCAGGTAATTTAAGTTTGTTTGTTTTCGTATTTAAGATATTCAAGTTGAACTTTTGACCAACTAAATCATATTACCAGCTATTTTTAAAAATGTATTTACAATTAAAATTTCATTAGTTCAATTTAGAATAAAAGGTTGTTAAATTAAAAAGAAGTTTAATCCTTTTTTTAATGTAAAAGATATGACAAATCTATTTATATGTCGTTTGGATTTTCACTTAATTACAGCAGTGGATACTATTTAAATAATTAACTCTAGAATTTAATGACTTATCAAACAATTATCCTGATAAGTTTTTAAATTGAACCAATCATTGTCAGCCCACCTTTGAAAACTTGAAAGCACTGAACGACCGTTCTGTCTTAGTGTGCATCGACGATCCTGCACGTCGGACTCGATCCCAGGACCTTCGGTTTGGCGCGCTAACTCTTAACATCTAGACCAGTTAGCTGGCATCTAACCATGTTAATGTCTTACTTCAACCCATCCACGATATTGTACGACCATCTTTCATTGTCTTCGGTGGGTAACTGCCTCAGACCTGACACGGTTGATCAACACTGACCAGCTATTATTTATACTCGTAACATAAAATACTATTATGCTATGATAGTGAGCTACTGAAATTATAATTCACTTCATAAATTATATTTTAGAAAATAATTATAATTAGCAAAAAACTTGGTATTTTTTATAACAGTTAATTTTTCAAAAGATAACATAGTGATATTCCTGTATACATTTAACTATTTTACAGATATATTTATAAAACTTTTGTTAGTAGATCATATATAACTTAGAATAAAGTTGTTATTCATCAATATATCTGTTTAGTAGAGTATTCAGTAGTGTTGGCTCATAATTATAGTATTTAGTTTGGTAGCCGTTAGGATGAAGTTTCATATCCATTTCCAACTACGGTTTAAACAGTCAAGTCTAGATTTCATACTAGGAGTGTGACCTAGAGCTAAGTACATAAACTTGTACCTTTTTTATTTGTTTTTTATGTTTATTTAAGTCACTTATCAAATGTATGTTTAGTGTATTCGACTGAACTACTCGAGTTGTATCCGAGTTAATAAAACTATTGGGTCACCCAAACTGACGTAATTAGAGTGAGGTCCAAACTTGCAACTTCTTGGTTGGATGCTAAGCACTTTTATTACTGAACAACCACCATCCTATTTATATCTAACGTTGGTGTGTTCAGAATTGATTATAGTGAATATATATTGTACATGTTATAAACTTCATTTATTATTATCTTAATACATCTCAGTTTACGTTTTCGCTCTGATCTTTCAAGTGTACATAATTTAATTAGTTTTTCGCATATGAATCTCGTTTTACCTTTTTATAGAAAGTAGATTTGTTTAATTTTGATCTATAAGTGTAGATGTTGTCTTCTATGCACACATGTTTTTCGTTATCTCAAGTCGCTACACAATTCTACTAATGATTGCCGACTTAGAAATGTTATTTGACTATACTACATCAGGATCCATTTCGATTAGAAATAGACAGTGAAGCTTTCAGATTTATGGTTTAGATCAACCTTAGTAGTTTGCTGTTTGAAATATTCTTTGTAAGTCACAATAACTTGATGGATATTTGATAACGTATATCACGTTAAGTGCTTATGGAATCGTTGTGATCCCATTGTCCAATAAACAGGACAATATTGTTTGTTGTGCCACTTATGATCTTGTTCAGTCTCTTTTACTGTTGTCATTTGGAAATATGATAATTTGACCTATTGAACTGGTTTAAAATGTTTCCATCGTTTACTCTTTATTTGCCTAACTTGTGCTTGGTGACTAAACAAAGTTTCAGAATATATAATGATATCCCCCCTAATTATCTTACAGGAAAAGCTACACTAATTTAATTACTTTAAATAGTTTGTATCGTTGTATACAAGCGATGCGAAATATCGTTAATCTAAGTTTCTGTTCATTTTTTTCTAACCTGAAATTTTATTACTTAGTCTATTGTGTCGATTTATGGACAGTCGTTTTCGTTTAAATAATCGCTCAACTTTTTATTTTTGTCTTGATTATTTATTTAATATTTTATAGTAAAAAGTTTTGATTAAAATGATTTTATTTAATTTCATTATTCGATCTTTGAGAATATTGCTCTTTAATTGTTTACGTTAAAACCTATTCCAATTTGATTCGTTTCAGAGTCGAGTTGTTGTCAATGATATGCGTGAAAAATCCATTACTGGAAGAAGTAGGAAAACAGCTCGAACATCATTTCGATCTTCAGGTTCTTCTAATGTTCAAGGTTTGTTTTTATGCTGAACTTTTTACCCTTCATAGAAATGATTTAGCTCTAGATTGTTTTGTTTTTTAAATAACCGTTTTGTTTCACATTTTGTCAAGTAGAATATTCAAACATGTAGTTAATTTATTTTGTTAGTTTTTGCTGATAATGGGTAAAAATTAGGTCCATTATGCCTTTTTCTTTCTCCCAGGGATTTCTCAGGTGAATCTGTATTCTCAGACTTTCGTGGTTAAATACTGTGTCGCGTTATATATATATATATATATATATATATATATATATATATATATATATATATATATATATATATATATATATTTGTTGTAGAATATGGTTGGCAACTCATTGTACAGCAGTCATCAAGTTTACATATTCCCCAATGGTTTTCGTTTCATATATCTCTTCCTACTGTATCGACTAGATGTGAACATCATTTCTTATGTTATTGACATTGATAGGTTTTTAATATTTCCTTTGAATAATATAAATTGAAAAACTATACTTATCAACTTTTGATCATTGTAGTTAGTGAAATCTCATAAACTAAGTAAAGTAATTCAATTAATTAGGTGTATGAGTTAACCCTTCAATTAGATGTTGGATGATTTAGCTAAAAACGATGGCTTGAAGGCACTTTCATCGATTTCTTGTTTTGTGTTAAATTTTCAGCTTAATATCATCTATAATTCTTCATTTAATATTTCTGTTACGATCAATATCAGTGTATCCTGTTGATTTTCTCTCTAACTGTGTCGGTGTTTGAATTGTTACAATTTAAACTGCCACATATTCGAACCATGTTTTGTGTTATTCATAATGGCTAATTGCTTGCTGTCTGGATACCATTTTGCAGAGAATAAGTTTTTAAGATACCACTAGAAATGTTTCTCATTTGTTAACACTTTTCATTTCAGCATATTTTCTCATGATATGAGAGATTCAAAACGGATAAATATGAATTGACGTCATAAAATCGTTGAATAATTGTAACAATCATATCTAGAATTTTCTGTTGATTATTTTCAGATATGTAATTAGAATTTCACCGTTTTTTTATTATAAATGTCTTAAATTATTTTCAGTTAATCTGTATAAGTCGTATAGCACAATGATTATTACAAAAAATGCCGAAATTACCAACCATCATTATCATCTTATGTGGATATTAATAGTAGTGTGCATTTTACCGTACCATATTTATATGTCCGATGATTACCTCATAAGAGTTCATTTATTAGTTTCCTTTAATGTTACTTAGATAATTTAATTTCAAACTATGATTCTGATTTCAAATTAGTTAGTTACTATTATTTAAAGGTTCATTTAAATAGTTTAAATTTCTCAAACAGTATTCTACAGTCATCTTTTTTCTTATTATCTTACTGGAATACAAATCTTATTTTCTTAGTCGATTTAATCACTTCCTGATTGTTAATTTACCTAAATTTTAAACATTAGACTTTCACTCACTGTGTTGTATGTTCTAATTCCATTCTGGTTATATTAACTTGTGGCACACAAAATGTAAGTTAGATCCGAGTTCACATATCTGTAATTGGTTATTGAGTTGCATAACAGTCTAATTTACGTAGAAATTCCTCTTTATATTACAAATAGTCCCTCCATAGATAAATTTTATTATTGCTAATTCCTTCAAGATATTGGTAAGTATGTAAGAGGAAAGCTCATAAAACCTGTACAAATTGTTCTTTAGTGTATATTGTCGTAAATATTCGTTATAGAATAATAAAGAACTCAACAAATCTCATAAAAGACAATCAGAATATGCGAGAAATGGACATAAGATGAAACCATACATGAGATGATAAAGTGTTTTAACGATGACTAGTTCAAATATTTTATTGGCTCAGATTGATTACCAAAATGAAGAAGCAATCTGTGTATGTTTTCCCTTGGATTTTGAATCTCGAAATCTTCTTATACCTATTTTCTCTGTATTTGATCTTTTCTACTGATACTATTATTATTTCTACTACTATGAGTTTTGGCTTGATAATTTCATCGTTTCATTCTGCTAACTTATTATGACAATCTGGACTAAATCATATATTTATCAGGTGAATAACTGATTGTCTAATGTAGATAACTTTTTACACATGTCATAGTGTTTCATCATACAGATCACATTAACCCCTTTATATTAATTATTATTCAGTAAGTTACTATTACTTATCATGTTCATTATATTAGACTTTTCATTTGATGAGTTTTATGTGACCTATTGTTCTTAGCTTTGTAGTAATTTAGTCATAACTACTTAATAAGCAATTATAGCGTAACAATAATTGTTCGATTACTTAAAATACTACTTTTTTTGAAAAAATTCTAATTTTGACTCGATATCTATTGCTAAATATCAGTATAATTCTAATTAATTTTGTTTAAATGATAGATTTATGGGGATTATCAGATTGTCAGCAAATATAAACTGTCTCCCATTTATTTATTATTTACTCATTTGAACACATAAATATTGGTACAAGGGGGCACCAGATACATATGTGCCACACAAATCTCGTTTGACTTGTAGGAGAGCTGTAGTACTGCCCGGGTGGTTTTCTTGGGGGGCCACACCCCGAGCCTTTGACCTGAAGGTCTGACCCACAAGGGAGTGGAGCATCGTAAGGAGATGCAGTCCCATGGTAGCCGGCGACCAACAATTGATTCATACTCCATTTGTTCTTTCAGGATAATGAAGCCCATGTGTACCATTGGTTTGGAACCAGGGTTTTCCAACTCCCCTAGATGGAACCTCCGTATCCACTCACCCAGGTAAAGCGCCGAGGTTTTGCTTTTCGTCCTCTCAATTTCGTAAACAACACCCCCGCCACGAGAAGGCAGTGTGTAGGACTTCCCTAGCAGAGGCTATATACGCGTGGCAATGTGAGAGCATTTCGAGAGGCAGAGTGAAAACTCTCCATTCTCGGCATTTGGGGCCGTCTCTGGTTTATAAAATATTAAATTCATATGTTAATACTAGTAATCATATTAAGAAATACATTTCCTCTTATTCTATGTGTAATTGTTTAAATGTTTAATTCAAAACAGAAGGAAAAATAAGATTTTTTTTCAAAGCAGTTTTTCTGATAGAGTCAAATAGCAATATCATTTATAGTAAATTTGTTGTTACTCTCGTTTACATTGCAGTTGAAAGAGATATTTTTCAGAATATATTGTAAGCGAGTATTTTTAATGGTACTTGAGTCTTACATAAAAGTTAATGTGAATGTAACACTAAATTTTGATAAAATAATCCAATGTTTATTAAATTGAATTGTATTCATTGAATTTTAATGCAAGATCTATCGACAAACAAATGACATATGGAATAATAGATGATATAATTTCGCTTGGTATTGTTTACTCGAATTTTCCCATCGATGTATACGAATGTAATTGATCAGCCTCTTATTGGTATATGTGCATACTGTGCGTATTGCCTCGATATTGCTGTGATTTACAAGCAAGTAGCTGTCAGGGCTAAATAGCTAATTGGATAATTCGATAACATTTGAAGCGAACGGTACTGGGTTCGAGTCTCAGAGTGAACATCAACTCTGAGATTCAGATACGTCTAGCTGACGAGTTCCAAACAGGACGAAACGCGCGTCCTGGATTCCATTGCTAGTCACTATCTATCTTTGCTTGATAGATGATATATTTTTATTTAAAAATTGTTTCGCAAATTTCACACGATTTTGAAGGCACAGTCATTTTAACATTACAAAGTATGTTTCCAATTTATACTATTTAGGGAATTGTTTATTAAGAGGATTTATTTAAACGAGAAGTACACATTCAATCGATTGATTTTAACTTACAAATTAGCCGTTTATCCACATGCGTTAGTAAATGAAGCGTTCTTGGTGGATATTTTAAGCTTTGTGTGACTGAGCGCTCTAGTAACAAACAATTAAATAGGCTCTTCATTTGTGTTCAGCAATCCCATAGATTTTTACTCAAGCCAGGTAATCAAAATGTATTGACCTTTATATATATATATATATATATATATATATATATATATATATTATTGACAATGTTGATTTATATGTGTGATTTTGGACATTTAAAGAGCCTGATAATAACTACGTTTATCGTTAATGTATTCGAGCATGCTAAAAAACCAAAGTTAATAAAAGCTTCATTAAGTAACTTAACAAATTACATGAACAGATAAATTTCAACTGAATTGCTTAATCAATTGAGTTATACTTTGTAAATGGGACATTCTCATCAATTTTCATATTCTTTATGTAATTACCATTTTCATGAAGCTGAAATGATAGCGTAGATAGTTTCTTTTAAATTCAATCAAATCATTATTATTTATTTATTTGAACACATAAATATTGGTACAAGCGGGCACCATATATATATATATATATATATATATATGCGCACTATATATATGGAAGTGATCAATATTATTGTATTTGTACTCTTCAAATCGAAGTTTTGAACTTTAAGCAAAATTAAGGTTTATTAATATTTTAAATACAAAATAACTTGAGATAAGTCTAAATACGTAATAATTGTTTGACTGTATCAACAATTATTCATGTTGATTAATATCAGAAGGGGTTTTGTGGATATTATAATAATTCCTTAATGGTTGAGATCATGAATCAATTGAAGCTAAACTACCATGGAAAACCTGGAGGCACTGGACGACCGTTTCGTCCTATTGTGGGCCTCCTCAGCAGTACACATCCACGACCCCGCCTCGAGAGATTCGAAACCAGTGCCTTCAGTCTCGCGCGCGAGCGCTTAACCACTACGTCACTGAGCGTTGCAGGTTCAAATTTTCCCCCACCTACTTCAATTTGAGCGACAATTATAGTAAGATTGGCTTCCACACTTAAAGTGTGGCTTATACCCAAATACCTGGTGAATTATTGGGTTATTAATATTGTGTCAACTTTAATATCTGCTCATGTCATCAATATCATTCGAAAGTGAACAATTTCATTATCTACTCATTGCACAATATGATTTTATGTGATAATTTTGACAATAATAGGATAATCGTAAGTTTATATTAGTCTCTTATGAATCTGGGATTCTTATTATGCTATGGTGATACTGGGTTACTAATGAAGTGTTTATCATAGTATTTGATTAATACATTATTCTCTTTCTGTATATATTTTGTTTAGGTCCTACTCTCACTAGTTTGTTACATCTACGTTATCAACACCAACAGCCGAATCAACAACAAGGTCAATTTCAGTCGATCTCTGGACTGTTAGGCGGAGGTAAAGTTAATCCTAGTGAACATGTATCATCAAGACCCACGGTTATTAGTAAAACTAAGCCAGTGACTTCTGCAACAGATGTTTTCAATTGTAAAATATCATCGTCATCATCTACGGTTTTTGAATCACAAGAAAAAGCGGATATTTTGAATTCTGTAAATCCTCAACTAGTCTATTCCCCATCTTTGATAACACCAAACATACCATGCACGTATGTTGGCTTGTCGTCGAATTACCCTACTTCATCAACTACTTTCAGCTCAAGACTTCCTAATCAGGTGTTAGATTATTGTGTTGATAACTCGTTAGATACATTTTATGTCCCTAATTCTTTACAGACTTGTCCAAATACAATACCCTCATCCATTTCATCATATTCTTTACATTCCAATCCTAGACTTAATAATTATGTTATACAACGTAATGTACAATTAAACCAACCACAGGCTAGAACTTTGTTTGCAAATTCAATTAGTTCTCGAACGAATGAAACTAGTCCCAATTTAATACTATCTTCTTCCTCATCCTCTTCTCTGTCAACGGCTACTTTATCGAGTAATCGTTATTTTGTCATTCGACCAAGTGCAATCGCACAAACACCTAATTTAGTGGTTTGTGCTAAACGCAGGGATACTTATTCCACATCTAATATAAACAGATCTTCTGAAGATGTATGATATTATTATTCCTATTTATTAATTTTCCGTTTTTGTATTTTCTCAAAGTATTTCCCTTCAGTATTCCATGTATTCCTCTTTACTCAAAGTTTTCTTTATATTCACCCTCTCTCTTGTTCTCCTCTCCTAACATTACAAAGCAAGTCTTTTGTTGGTATGCAGTTAAAATTCATTTTTCCCGTAATTTTGCTTTTTCTTGTGTGTAAGTTATGTTCAGCAAAGATACTACTTTTACTGATATTACTGTCGACACTAATAAAACTATTATTAGTATTAGTAACAACTTTCGGTTAATCATATCATTATCAAATCATGTTTTTTTCTTAGTGAATTAATTTTGTACAAACAGAAAAAACTTTTAGTTGTTTTCTCTCCTGTTCTGTTTTTTCTTTTTTCATGCGAACGACCAATCAGTAAATAAGCTGACTAATATAATGCTTTTTACCGGGAAGAGATAAAGGGTTTGCTGACTAAGGTATGAATGAATAATCCATTGTCCAGCGATCTCCACTTTTCTCTTTGTCCTTCATTTTAACATCTCTTAAATGTCTTTTTGGGATAATATTTCATGTAAAGACCATTTTGTATTCAATCTGAAGCCGAAGTCGTGTTGATAAAGATGTCCAGTGTGTTATTTATGTTGTGTTTAAATGTGATGTACAAATAGATGGTATTCTTGTTGTGGTGGATTATTCCAATAACCATGGTTGTCGCACAAATTGTTTAAGAAACTAATTCTCACTGAAAAATATTTGATCACTATACGGGTCATTTTGTGTTAAGGCCAAATCCAATTACAAGTGTTCAGAGAAAGTGACATCGGTAAATCTGGCATTTCATCAATGTATAGAAGAATAATATTCTCATATACTGTAATGTTCCATACTATTTATTTAAGACTTCAGATTGTAGTATTCGACTGTAAGGTTCTTGTTTCAGTTTTACTATACACAAACTAACGTTTAAAAAATATGGCATCGTGAATGTCATCAATCTGTTTGTATTATTTTTAAAGCTATGTTGCAATACCTTCATCATGTACCAATGTAACATGACTAAAGCAAATGTCCAGAGTGGTCGTTTGCTTACCTATGTGAAGTTTCTGTGCCACTCAGAGTTCCTAGTATCTGTTTTTGTTGAGGTCCCACTTTATGATTAATAAAGTAGTTTCTACCGGCATCACTATTATGCAGTCTGATTTAATCAAAATAGTGTTTTGTAACTTATTTTACAGGGTATAAGTCCATTACTCTGTAATTCTCCGGTGAGCATTAGGTTCATTGGAGTCCTCGTTGTTTTGCCTTTAGAGTTGATACTTTGATAAATCGTTCACCCTACTCCAATAATTCTAATTTTTTAGCTAGCAGGGCTTGGGGGAAGTGGGAGAATTATATTGTCCTGTTGTGATGCTGCTGAATTTCGTTCCGCATGCTGATATTTGGTGATATTATTACCTCTTCAAACATAGCAGTAAGTATATTCTGAATTTTGCTAGAATCTCTTACGACAAATTTCACCATGGTCATAAAGTATTCATGTAAGCAATCTGTCTTATGCCAAGTGACAAATGCAAAAGCTGGTTTCGCAAATCACACACGGGTCTTACAGCAGCTGCTTACAAAAAACCCAGCAAATCAAACGTCATTTTATGTGCAGCACACACAACATGAATTCTGACGATGTGCTAAGAAATATCATCTTTCTCTTAACAGGTCTGCGAAAATAATGTCAGCAACTCTGAGAAGTGGAAGTCATGAAATGAGTAAACAAAGACAGGCAGAGAAGTGAAAGAGATGGTCCCCAAATCATTAGGATCAATGGAATACGCGTCGACACTAGTGGAGATGTGCTGACTTTCAGTGCACTCACAACATCGACAGTGTTAAATTCGCGCAGTAAACTTATGTCTCCCAGCACAGGCCCTTCAATTACAACTGTGATGCCAAAAATTCCGTAGGCGAATGGACCCTGTCAGCAGCGCTGAAAACGATAAAATGTCACCGTCGAAAACGTTGAACAGCCCATGAGAAAAATCGGCCACAGAATTGGCTGTGCGATCTACCCTAAATTTCTCCAAATAGCTAGCAAAAAACACGATGATCCAAAACGTAATCCAACTGCCAAACAAAAAGACGTCATCATAAAAGTACCCGAAAAACTGATAAATCGACCATGGCTTGAGATGATTCTCTCATAGTTATCAACCTAAATTACAGTTCTAAATTTCCTCTCGTTCTACAGAACTTAAATTTCAGCACGCTCTGGGAAGAACCAACCAGGCAACCCAAGCTTCTAGAAATCGAGCGAATTATGGTTACACCGTCTACATGGGAAAGGGTTCCAACACTGAAACGATTGAAGTCTCACTCGAGTAACGGTCACGATCTCTGCAGATGTAGAGGATCTTCTGTTGGCCTGTTGCGTACTGAAACGCAACAAGGAATTTCGCGCGAAGTTCTTTCGCGAAAATATAATTGTTTAAGGTGTCCTAGAAGACACGGACACTGACTAGGCAGTCTGTAATAAAGCAGAGCTTGAAAATGAGGAACATATTGACTCAACAAGTGATGTGATTCGCCATGAAGATTAAGGAATCTAGTCCCTGGCTAGTGAAGATTGTGCTCTCATCCTCCAATACCGCAGCCGCCAATCTCAAAGCATTTCGTTCCACACGACGTAAAGTTTTGGCACAATTGCGAATTGAAACTAATGATTTAACTTGTGGACTTCCAAGAAAAAGGAAAGAACGTCGAACTGATAGAGACTACGAACTCGGAAAACCATAGGTAGTCAGGTTGCTCGTCCATACACATAAGGTTCATTCAGATAAACGGGTAGATGAAGCGTTTCATATCTGAAAAACCGACTGCCGGTGTACGGAATGCCGCGAGTTCGTCGAACAAATGGAACAAGTGATGCTAATAACACTCACTTGATACGAGTATCTGAAACATAGGCATCTCAGATTTCGAACCAGAATCAAGTATTACCTCCTATGTCTTTGCTTCGCGACGACCAAAACACAGGAGTGGAGAGCGATATTACTTGACAACACGTCACGTTTACACTCGAAAATTTATCGATGTGCTCTGTACGAATGGCTAACAGCTTGTGGTATCTCGTTAGAGACATCTGCAGGATGCTCACTGCTAACAACGTGTAAGAAAATCGAATGCTGGGCGATTATGTCGTGCTAGTTATTTCGGAGACGCTTAGTTCCTGATTCTAGAGGAATCTAATCGACTTAGTTGACACACCTTCTTTGACGGCTGCAACGAAGCTCAGAAGAACTACGAATGTTGGTGCCATATGATCTGAAGTTTTCAGCTAACTGCGACAGAAATACTTTACGAGCAAACCTTGAACTTGTAGTGACCTACATTTATCAAGAGAATGCGATTGATTTAATGGAAACAATTATTACTATAACCAATCGTACCAGTGATTGTTTTACTGTACTTGTTTGTTTTACTGTACTAAAGACATTCTTCATTCCGTTGATTGTGATCTTGCACGCGCTTACACTTGCTCAGTGATTCCTCTTGTGCCCTTTTGGCACGACCTCGGTATTCTTTCGATAACACGAGATCGCCACTCATTATGTCTCGCTACAACCTCCAATCGCCTTCTGATATCTGGTAGTGGTGATCATAGTCAACCGCAACACGAGGACACAGTACACACTAATAAAGTTGAGGCGCATTTTTAGCTGGTTCGATGACAGCACTTTTCACATAACGTTCGGCAGTTTTATTCTACTTCATTTGGTGTATGGGAATATAGCGTTTCTATTCTCACTTCAGAAGGATTATGGCACACAAGGCTGCATTCCACAGAGAGTCAGGGAGTCAGTTTTGAGACTCAATTTCGGACCTTACGAAGAGAGCGCTTCAAATCATCTAACCTTTGTCCGTTAGAGTATAGGCGTTTTGGAGGTAACCTTCCAAAGTCTTATGGCATCCGAAACACTTTTGTGTACCCCCTAAACACCTACTTTAGCTCAGTTCCAAGGCAAACCTTTAGGGTAAAACTTAGAAACCGGAGACACAATGTAACAAATGGACTGTAGGCGCACATTTCACCCTTTTATACTAGTCGTATGCTGAATGCTTCTGCAAACTTCTGTAGTCCAAACGAATTATCATGGATCTTTTAGGAGAAAACGTTACATGTTCTTTAGGGCTGAGAAAAATATCTCACTAAAATTCGCTAATTTATTCTTTTATCGTTAAATATACCAAGGTTCCCAGCTGGCAGTATCGTTGATCCACTTTTACCAGATACGGAAGCTCATTAAGTGAAAGCTTCTTATATTCCATCCAGGACCATTTGAACAATTTAGGCCACTGAGCCGACACCAGTTGATTTACTTCAGCACTCCTTAGAGATATTGGATAATGTATGAGCTGATCTGCAAAATGTTTGGCGCGAAAACATCCGCAAGGCCATAGTACTCGTGATATTAGATGGTCGTGGTGGGATGTGTTTTCGATAATTTTCCAGGAATTCATTGTACGCACGAGCGACTTGATGTAGACTTATCTCTGTGATATGCTCGTGCCGATCAGTTTTTCATATTCAACGGAGACATATCAAAAACAGTTCCTCAATACTTCCACACTACTTCCAAAGTCACATTTAGCTTTCCCGAATGTATTGCCCTACTCCGAAAAGGTGGAAGTAATGTTTAATGGTCTACAGACTGCGCCGTCTTTGAGATGTGCCAATCCGATGCCACAAATTGGCCATCCATTCATTATTGGAGGTCCTGTTCTAGCAGTTGGCAAATCAACTTTTTCTCCTGCTGGGTATGGGAATTCACAGAGGCTCGAAAATGGGTTCGTTTTTCAACCCAGTCTGACCCGGAAAGTGTACATGCCCGAAAAGTCTTTGGGATTTGGTGCTTTTGGTGTTGTGTGGTAATATCGTATATTATTTTTACCTTGTAGGATGGTTGTTGATCCACGAACAGGCGACCAGGTTGCTCTTAAGAGAATCCCCAACATTTTTGAAAGCGTTGTGTCTGCTAAGCGAGCGTACAGAGAATTAAAATTGTTGTTCTCTTTAAAACATTTAAATGTAACAACACTAATTTTTATTAAACGCATCTAGATTGTCCGCCTGATTGATGTCGTAAAAGTCAGCAGTTCCTCTTTGTTCAGCGAAGTGTACGTCTCATTTTACTTTCATCTAGGTTTTTCATAGCTCCGTTCTTTGCGAATATATGGATACTGATCTGCACAAAATAATCGTGTCCACTCAATATTTGTCGCTAGAGCATGTCAAACTGTTTGTCTATCAGATACTAAGAGGTAGGTGTAGTTTTTCTTACTTGAATGTTAGGTCTAAAATACCTTCATTCTGCTGGTGTTATTCATCGGGACCTGAAACCAGGGAACCTCTTGGTTAATTCTGACTGTTTATTAAAGGTAACTTATTTTAGTCCTTTTTAAAGAATGACGATTTGGAGACTTCAGGTTATATGTGTCTATTAAATAGTTATACAGTAGTACAGCAATTTTCCCCGCAACCATTGGTTTCCAGAGGTTTAGTTTTGCTAATTGATGAGTCATATTGTTTGAAATTCTTTAAGTTAGTTTACTAAGCCACTCCTGAATCATTGATACAGGTTTTCCAGGTGGTGAAAGTTAAAGAAAAACTTGCACAATCTGTAAACATAGTCTATTTCTCTACTATTATGAAAACTAACTTTACAAGTTTCTACGCTTAGGGAAGAAACTATATTTCGTCCGGGCTTAGAATAAGACTTTGTAGCGTGCTTTTTGGTAAGAATTACAACTGGGTATTTATCTGTTGATCTCCCCAGAGCAGCTTGAGTCCAGGGTCCTGTTTGCACTGTCAGTTAGGACAAACGTTCGTCTCACAATAAAACACTGAATACTTCCATATATAGTAATCAGTCCAGTTAGAAGAAATGTAATCAAACCTCATAATGAGAAATTTTCATGTCTTGTTTTAGCATCTTAATCATTTTGTGCGTGTCGTTCTGCCTTCATTTTGACAGAATTTGGCAAACAGGAATCGAAGCTGTAAATCTCTTGATTTTTGAAGTTATGTACTCAACGTACTATCCAAGTCGTTAGTAATAAAAGAAGCTATGCTGCCAAACTTAAATATAGCACCGTATACGAATAACCGCTTTTCGCGAGACGTGCATGGGATAAAGGCTTTAGCACAGTTTCGTAAGACTAATATGTTAGGCCAGTTGGTAAGTAACCTAAACAGTCGTGCATTTCTTTCAACTCTGTTACGCTTATTCGGGCTTTGGTAGTCGGTTACTACTACTAGCCGTCACCCATGAAACGTAAATTGTGGCCGATTACTTAAACCTGTAGTTAATTATTGAGTTGTTCTGCATCTAAAAGTGACTAGAAGCTTTCGATTATTTTAGTCATGATTGGTCGCACTGATACAAGTTGGTCTACTATCTATCTTCCTCCGGATTATCCTGTTCTCGCGTTTTTTATTTCATTTGTAGATTTGCGACTTCGGTCTTGCTCGTTCAGTGCCATCTTTTGGTGTAGAAAGATCTTGTAATCCACTAACCCTTGAAGTTGTGACTCAATTCTATAGACCACCAGAACTACTTCTAGGTTCGAATTTTTATACAGCTGCTGTCGATCAGTGGAGCGTTGGCTGCATACTTGGAGAGCTTCTTTGTCGTCAAATTTTATTTCAAGTGAGTTTAATAGCTACCACTATTTCAATGAATTTTGTGCTATTTAGACTTTGGTTCATAAATTACTGTACAAATTACGTTTCTGAAGTTAAGATTTCTAAAATATCTCTCAATTTAAGCTCTTATGTATGCTCCTTTGTAATCGCTTTACATTTCATGGTCACGTTTCGTTAATCGCTTACCTAGTGCATATTTGCACTATGATAATTAACTGACAACATACGTTTGCATGATAAAAATTGCCTGCATACCCATGGCCTTTGCTCTAATCGCTTGTTTTACTGACTATTAAGTATTCTTGTTTATTTAGTTGAAACTTCTACTTTTGTACAAGAAACGTAGCCTTTATACAAATACAGTATTCATTTTTTAAACATCAATGACGGGATCGTCTATGAATTGGTGTTCTTGAAAAAGATATTTATGTTGTACGTTTACAAATTTTGTACAAGGTCTCAGATACACATTTCTATCGAACACCAATATATTTGAAAATAATGTCCAGAGCCTTCTTTCAATTGTGTTTTTGACCTCAATGCTTTATTTATCACAAGGCAAAACGCTCTTCAAAAATGCAACTTTTAACCCTTATAGTGTTAAATGTGACGTTTCCTCAGTTCTGCACATAGAGAAGTCATTCCCACCTACTGCCTTACGTTCGTCACATTCATACAAGTTACTCTAAATTTCTTGTTCTTCTATAAATGTTACTATGATGCGGTGGCCGAACTTACGTTTCGTGACGGGCAGGTTGAGCTATATCGACTGGAATAATTGATTTTCGTTCTGCCACACCAGCCATGTAGTTTGCCTAGTGGTTAGGCCGAGTGCAACGAATTTAAGGTCCGTTGGCGGAGTATTACTGTCTATATTTTCTACAAATATCCGGCATCTCTGCCAATACTTTCTCATGGTGGAAAGAGAAGAGCGAAAAACGATTGGCGTAGAAAATAGTACATATTATCCTAATTTACAGATTTCCAGTATCGATGGTAATGTCTGGAAAATGTGGAGCTATTTCACTGAAATTTACTTGCAAAATGTTTATTGTATAACCAACATCAACCCCTCCCTTACGTTTTACATTCAGGCTACCAGTTCGAGAAGTCCTTCACTATCAAGCCAGTTTCCTCTTAGAGTTAGTAGGCCAGGATTTTTCTATGGTGTTTGGAACCGGAAAATAACAATCGCCCACAAATGTCTTACAGCACTCAAGCTTTTAGTTTTCGAAATTATGTTATTTCTTAGCTCCCTCATACTTCTGTTCATGTCATCATCAGTCCTCTTCCGACATATTCCACCAGGGTTAAGATTCCAAGTTTAAGAAATGTTATTGTAGTGTTCTAAAATAGCACTCCAGATTACATGTTAAAAGTATTGATTTCAGCGTGAAGTCAAAAAGCAGACTTAAAAATTACATGTGTATGTTATAATCGAAATCGCATACAGAACTCACGTAACCGGTGTAGAGAACTAGCGCAATTCACTATTCATATATTCATTTCGGGACCGGGAAATGAATTCTTGTTGAATTTTAACCGTTCGATGTTTGATTATATGAGATGGTAGGAACTATGAAGGATAAACGCACATATTGTTATGTTCCTAGTTCACTAAGAATCAGTAGGAGGAAAACATGGTCTCTGCAGGTAGCTTTCTGTCCTTCAAGATGCTAGGTTCGTGTATAACAAGATTACGTAAAACTGAAAAGTACTTTTAGGAGGCCCTCAGTGTACCAACCTAGTACGCAAAACTATGATCGTCTGTTTCAACAAAACTCAGCTAATCGTGCATTGCTAGCAAGCATGAATTCTAAACATAAGGGGCGATATTGTTTGAACCTGAAACCTTCAATTTCTCATCGAATAACATATACCATATAATTTTCGGTCATTGTTGGGAAAATTCGGCTCCTTAGATAGTATGTGCTTGGCTTAAAACCATGCTCTATTTAAAGCTTATGTTTACCTGGGTATTCATGGGCGTTCGAAGGTCAAAATAGGAAGAACTCTTCAAGTTACGTCTGAAGGCGAAAATTCTTTGTTGTCTAAGGAAAGACTTACTAAGTAAATAGTTAACCATGAACACGATTTCCACTAAGACGTAATATGGGCTTGCCGTAAAAACTTCTTGTCAGCAACCGAAATGGAAAGTTCATGATGAGCCATTAAATCCAAAACTGCTTTTTTATGTTAATAAGTACCCGGAAATAACACATAGGTCACTATCCAAATCCTATGAGAAATAGAAATATAAAACATAGCTTGATAGAAATTTCACTCAATGACCAGAAGCAGTAATGCTCAAAGGAAAAAGATGGAAAAACAGTGGAGATAGGTTTGGACCAGTTAGGTAACCAAACTTATCAGAGACAAATGATTAAAGTAAGTTTTTAGCCAAACTTTCTCTAGAAAATGAAGTCTTGATTGATTCCTAGACCAAGCAATTAAAACGGCTTGCGAAATACCATACGGAAGTGTTCACTTACTGTCGATTTGACCACTGTCCCAGAACAGCCTAAATGGGCGGTCGATCTGGGTTTCTAACCTTTCAGCAATGTTGAGGTCATTAGTAACCTCCTGTGTGGAACCAGGAGGTCCTGATAGGTTAACTTCAAAACACCTGATGGTTGTGGTCTTACTTCATTAGCAAACTTGAATGATTTCGGAAGCTGGACATACTACCATCAGACTAGTTTCGATCTCTGAGAACCGTAGCTTATTAAATAGGATCTTCGCAGAGGAATGTTTTCAGTTAGCATTGTTTGGCTTATTATCTTTTGTTATCACCCATCATTTAAGTAACTCGGTAACAACCAACCTATGGGAAACAACCCGGTTTAAGCGTGGATGTGTATGTGTGGATCAAATATTCACCCTTCGGTGTTTAAATGTCATGTGTGGCAACTTTCACATTTATTGCAGGTCGTATGTAGACGGAGCCTTATCGGTTTTCATATGATCTATTCTCGTTTTTTTTTCGCGTAAGTTGGTTTCAAACTCTTAGCTCCAGATCAATTTATTATTTTAACTTTTCCGAACTTCGTTTTTCCTATTCAGCGGTAGTATGCTGGCTCTTGACACAGCCGTCCAGTTGGGACTAGGTAGAAATATTGTGGATTAAGAAATTTGTGAGAAAGATACGTATGCAGAGGAATATTTCCTTGTACATATCTTCCGGTCGTCAAGTCCTAAGTAATATTTGTTTCATAGCAATGAGAGCGATAACATGCGAGAATGAAATATTCTTGTCGTATACAAACATAGGACTAGAGGAAAATTGTAGAATTTACCTGAAAATAAAATGTTAAATCAACCAATTGTTCGAACAATGACCATCGTTGCAGATCATAATAACAATAAATCTAAGAAAAGTGATTTTTGGCATAAGTCATTGGGACTTGATTATTATCTGATCGGTAATTAAACTTCTTGATAATTTATCAGATACATTGCAGAGTTTCTTCGTCAAATACATCATTCTGAATTCTATTTCTTCATTTTAGTCTTCCAGCTCATTTCGTCAATTGGATATGATATTTAATCTACTAGGATCACCTAATGCAATGGAATTAATTGACTTAGTTGGTTTTCCGTCATCTAGCATAGATTTTATTCGTAATTGTCCTGTACGACCATTTAATCATGATGCTGTTTTAAGAATACTCGTTCCGGCTAATACTCATTATTTTCAGTCACCGACAGAAAATCCACCTGATCCTAATTTAATTAATTTGTTTACAGGACTTCTAAGTTTTAGTTCAGTAAGTGGAGCATTTAACGTTTATTATTTATGTGATACTGGCATCTTCTCTTCTATCAAGTATACATATAAGGATGTTGCTCTTTTTGCGATCCGTCTCCTTTCCTCTTTCTTTTGAAAGCACAAACAGTCACACATTTACTTAATATGCAGAAAATATATTGTTCAACTGAGTATCCTAATTATGTGGATATTGTTCTTGTGGTGCTGCCATAATGTTCACTCTCACGATTGTGTTAGCTGAAATCTTACTAGAGTATAGTAATTTCAAATTTTGTCATTGACGTCATACCAATTCGTAAATACCTGAAAAAATATGTTAGAAATCCCTTGATGAATGTCAGTCTTCTAACCATCTACGTTATACTTTACTGTTGTGCCTCAATCGGTCGTGTAATTTATTCTTATTTATTTATTTATTTATTTGAACACCTAAATATTGGTACAAGAGTGCGGCAATATATATGCGCCACACAAAACAATGAGAATTCTTAGAGAAAAGAAGAAAAGTTGAGGAGCGTAAAAAAGAGAACAATAACAAAGAGATTGGTGTAAGGTAGTGTTGTAGTAATGAGTGAAAGGAACGTTACAATTGGAGGAAATCTTTCAGGTAAGGGAGACACAATCACTTTTTATGAAGAAAGTAAAAGAAGGCTACAGCAGGATCGCCACTGGCTTCTATTCTGAGCCATATCTGATAACGTCTCTAGCCACTGTGTAGCACCATCTCTCGGACCACAGTCAGTCCTTTGCAGCTTTCTTTCATGCCACGACACCATGTCATGCACTGACCACCTCTCCGCTTCTTCCAACCAGTCCCAGAGTCGGCAAATAATGCACGACGTGGAATTCTCTGGGACGACATTCGGAGAACATGTCCAAGCCACTGAAGTCGGTGTTTCAAGATGGTGACACCAATTGGATTATCGTCTCTGTACTCGAACACACGATGCCGAACCTCTGCATTACTAACATGATGTTGCCACTGGATGTCAGCAATCTTTCGGAGGCAGCGATGATCAAACACAGAGAGTCGTCTAACGTCCTCAACTCGGAGAGGCCAGGTTTCACAAGCATAGAGCAAAACTGCTCTCACCGACGCATTTTAGATCCGACATTTTACAGCCAGACTAACATCACGAAGGCGTCAAAGATGGCCCAGACTGGCATAAGCCGCTCTGGCTTTCACTATACGTGCATTGATCTCATCACTCACGCCACCACCACCAGCACTTATGCAGCTACCCAGATACACGAACCTCTCGACTACTTCTATCTGTTCACCATTCAGGATGAGTATAGGATTAGAATCCTGCCAGTCTTGTAGAAGTACTTTTCACTTCGAAGGTGCAAAGCACATACCGTACCTACGGACATTGATTGCCAACTGATTAAGTGTAGATCGGATGGCTTGTGCATTATCGAACAGCAAGGCAATATCATCCGTATACTCAAGGTCGAGAAATCTTTCTCCAGGCAACAGATCCACACCACCATTACTTACATCCATCAGAGCTGTTTCCAGAATGTCATCGATGGCAAAGTTGAAGAGGAATGGTGAGATTGGGCAACCCTGTCTAACCCCTCTGCTTGAATGGAACAATGGAGAAAGGTGGTTGTATGCCCTCACTCTACCTGAGGTGTTTGTATATAGAGCCTTTAGGATGTTAATGAACTTCTCAGGCACACCCTTCTTCAATAGACAATCCCAGAGAACAGTCCAGTCCAACGAATCGAAGGCAGCCCTGATGTCGAGAAACACTACGATTGTTGGTCTGTGATGAGTATGACGGTGTTCTAACATTTGGCAGAGAGTGAAGATATGATCAATATACCCTTGACCAGAACGAAAACCAGCCTGATCCACGCGAGTCAATCTTTCTGGAGTTTTGAACAGCCTACGAAGTATGACGGAAGCCAATAGCTTGGACGCAATGGGAAGTAGACTTATCCCCCGATGGTTGTTACAGGAACGACGTGAACTCTTTTTAAAGATAGGGACAACTATCAACTCATTCTATGACGTTGGTGCACTCTCTAGCTCCCAGACTTTTGTAAACAACGTTGTCAGTTCTTTAGCCAGAATTCACCACCATCTTTAAAATGAGCTGGAGGTAAGTCGTCTGGGCCCGGTGATTTGTAGCGCTTCAAGAGTTGGAGTTCCTTGCGGACTTCCGCCTCATTTGGTGGATCAGTCGTCACCGGCCATGGAGGGCAGGACAGTCTGAGCGATGTTGCCGGAGCAGCAGGCCAGTTGAACTGCCCTTCGAACAATTCTGCCCATCGTCCAAGACGTCGATGGATGTTAGTGGTTGGTGCTTCGTCATCCTCACAGATTGTTGCGCTCACACCAGACTTCTTGCTGCCAGTGGCTCGGATGAGTTGGAAGAGCTTCCGGTAGTTATCAGATGCAGCTGCTGCTTCCAGCTCATTAGCACGCTTCGACCACCAGGCTTCTCGGTCCTTACGCAAGCTTTGCCATGAGCTAATCCGTGTCGGGTAGAGACAGGTATCTACCTCAGTACAATGGAAGTTGGTCGCGCAATTTCGTGGATTTGTTGATGTTAGACACTAGCACCATTGGATGCCGGCTCAATGGTCTAGTTGGTTAAGCGCCTAGCGCGAGACAGGTAGGTCCTGGGTTCGAATCTCGTGGGTGCGCACTGCTGAGGAGTCCCATACTAGGACGAAACGGCCGTCCAGTGCTTCCAGGTTTCCACCGGTGGTCTAACGTCAATTGATTCATGATCTCAATCAAAAACTTGACGATCTCCACAACCCCTATACTGATAATCTTTTTAAATACTTGATAATTGCCATGAAAAGACGAAATTTTTCCGAAGTTGGTAAAATATTAGCTCATGTTACATTTTAAACAGTCTGATCAAATAATAACTCGTTATAGCATTTGTATACGAAATAAAGTGAAAACTAAACAAACGATAAAATATCTAAAGATAAAGAAATGAAACAGTTTAAATCACTATTCTCAATATTTAAAGTAAATATCATCACGGTTGGTTCAATATTGTTCTTGAATTTGTATTTCCGTGTAACATTGGCCTCAACAAATCCGATATTACATTAAATTCACTTATATAATCCGTTTCAACTATCTCATACAGTAGAGGGGGATAGCTGTTTGTTAACTGCTTTGATCTGCTTATTGGTTTTATTTAATAAAACTGCCAGTTAATTACTGCTTTGATCATTCCTACATTGAAGTTATGATTATTCTCTCTATGTATTTGCTGACACATGAATTGGTGTGCACAAAAGGATGTGATGTACTCGTTTAAAATCTGTTTGAGTGTTTAGTGGAGGATGACTCCAATCTAGCCATTGCAGAACGTTTCTGGAATTGTTTTGAGTTCTATATGGTTCAGATGTCATATATCATCATTCCAATTCCGTGTCAACAGTATTCTAACGCAATTTTGAAGTGCATTATATTAAATATCGAGTGGTTGAGAACCTGGGGCATTTGTAAAATTGTCTTTTTCTAGTTTGGGACTGTTCTACAATTTCGACTCAGAGCGGTGGCTCAGTCCTTAAGACGTCAAACTTCCGGTCAGTAGTTGTGACTATTGTTGTAGAGCTGCACAGAAGGGAATAAAACGGTTGACCTGGTTATCAGTGGTTCTTCAGTTACTGATATCATTTTGTGACGAAATTACTTTCAAACTTTTCAGATCCCCAGCTTTGGTTTTGTCCTCGTGTAACATTAATAAAAAACTTCAATAAGTATACTGATTGTTTCCTTATGTGTGCTCTGTGGATTTTCGTTAAAATTCTATATTATTTCTCGTCTAGGATCTGATAGTTAAGTTAAATCCTTACCCTTTTAATCATTAGCATTCAGCCTGTAATATCTCCAGCACAGATCATAATTATTAATAATTTCTTTTGGATGTAGTCCTTTCTATTTTTTGTTATATATCTATGAACGTTTTGTATCAGTCGTTGCCTACATCCTATCAATAGTATACATGGATGGCTTATATAAATCTTAAGATATGTGTTGTACGTCACTCTTGTGCTTTGTCAAATAATACAATACAAGCAATAAAAAGCATTTCTACAAATTATTTTTTTCAGTCGAAGCGGTTAACTGCTGAACAAGCGCTAGATTCACCATTCTTAGTTGGAGGTAGAGCTAGATTTCATACTTGTTTGTGCTGTTGTTGTCCACCACGTAATCAAAGTTCAATGATTAACGATTCAACTACCCACTGGAATAATGTAGCGAAACAAGTAAATCATCATCTTTTAGCTGTTGGTTCAGTTGGTACTCTGTCATCATCTGGTGGTACACTACCATCTTCACTTCATTCATCTATGCTATCACAAAGTAGAGATATAACGTTGCGCATTCCTTTATTTTTGTCACCTCATCTAATGATACCAACTTCTCTTATACGGTATAGTTGTATTAATTTGGAACCAACCTTTCAAGATATACATGAATACAGTTATTTAAATACTGAAATAGAAGTGAATAACTTGTTTGAAGCTAAACGTGAGTTTTTAATTTGTTGACTTTATCATTTTAAAGTAACTTACTCAATGTATACGTTTACATATTCTACATCTTGTCACTTTGAGTGAGTGTTGTTTATACTATCCGCGTTGTTAGATCTAAAATGCTGAAGTTAAATGTAACTTTCTACGCACTAGTGATTAGAATTTGAGTATTGTTCAATCACTTCTTGGCTGACCGTTTTACTATTTTAATACCACCACTATTGCCTGATTTGAAATCGTCTTTATCTTAAAATTAAATGATACTTCTCCTATTATGCTACGTGTTTGTATATACGGACTATCTGGTTGCATTCCGTGCGGTAACTGATCAATGGTTGGAAAGATTGGAGTAACATTTCCTGAAATTAGTCGCCGTAGCATAAATACATTCACTCTTCATCTTAGTCTAAATCTTAAGTTTTCATATTTCTTTATACACACGTTTTCAGTATAGCTCCTCATACCATATTCTCAATGTTCACTTCTTTTCATTATCACTGTTGCTGCACTATCTCGATTCCTTTGTTATGTATGGTGTAGATTTCATTTTGTTTGTGCTAATATCACATGGCAACATGCGCTAATGCACAGTTGTGCCTGGAATTTATGTTAATAATGACTGACTGATGTATAAAATTTTAGGTCGTTTACAACTACATATTGAGTAAATCCATCCAATATAATATAGGATGATTCAGGCACTCAATGTAATTAGTTTGAAACAGTCATTGATAAATTTATTCATATTTCATGCGATTACATATAGTTGACATGATTCATTCGAATAATTTTATATGACCTTTTAGTACTTATGGATATAAGTTTATTTTTTGTCGAATTTATAGTCAAACTAGAAATGGAATTATGACAGTGGATTTCAGAATTAGACTATCAATTTTAGTCAATGAGAAATTACGAATTATGCCAAGGGATATCTAAGTATACAACTCTTCTTCAGTAGAATACATTCTATACGCATCTCATAACAATATCACGTATTAAGTCTATGTATACACTTACATACGTTACTATAAGATTTTTTTGTGAATATTTTACTTCGATTGTTTACATTTGTGCCCAAGTTAAGACCTCATTTATATATATATATATATATATATATATATCCTTTTTGCTTCGTAATTTATGTTTATACTTTTGTGAATGTTTGTTTGTGTCGCCTGTTTCTATGGTATTATCCCTTTTTAAATCTACATAAAATTACTTCATATTAGGGGTATTTATAAATCATCTCATGTTGTATATTTTAGCTTCATATGCTTTAACATTGCTTTATGCATATACAACGTAGACAATTGCGGTTGTTTATATTGTGTTCTTTGTAAACTGTAATATTTTTTCAGAGTAATTGTTGTTTTTGTGAGCTACAGGACGTTTTTAATTCACTGCTATTTATATTCAAACTTGACACAGTATGTCTTTGGATGTATGTTTTAAAGCTCTGAATAGTACAGTGAAGTAGTATGAATTGTTTCCAGTTCATATATCATTCTGACTGCTATCTATCTGATGTTTTTTTGTCATTTAATGTAAAAAGTTTGGGTTCGGAGAGCGGACATACTAACTTTTTATTCACGTTCACTATTTATCTTGTTAATTTTATCTCGTACTTATATGGTATGGGATTTTGAGCCAATACAACTTTGTGTTAGGTTCTATATTGGTTATGACTGACTATTACTTTATCAATGATATAAGTACAATTATGAATAATTTTTGACCTATGCATGCCCCCAAATGCCCCGGTATGGCCGAGAGCGGGGTGGGTTCGTCCTCTCTCTCGAAATACTCTCACACGGCCACGCGTATACAGCCTCTGCCAGGGAAGTCCTACTCACTGCCTTCTCGTGGCGAGGGTGTTGTTTGCGAAAACGAGAGGACGAAAAGCGAATGTCCAGCGCTCTAACCGGATTGCAAACCAATGGTGCACATGGTCTCCAGTATCCTGCGGGAACAAATGGCGTATGAACTAATTTTCGGTCACCGGCTACCATGGGACCTCATCTCCTTACGACGCTCCACTGCCTTGTGGGTTAGACCATTAGATCAAAGGCTCGGGGTGTGGCCCCCTAAGATAACCAACCACCTACTTCGGTTTAGGCACCCGGTCAGTATCGCAGCCCACACACAATTAATGAACTGAACTGTCTATGATCATGGAAACTAGTTCTCTTGCTTCGACGAACATTCAAATGATTCTATTATTATTATTATTGTTATTATTATTTACTACGGCAATTTTCACCCTCCTTTATCCCCACTCTGTTTATACTTATTTTTTTCGACTTATACAGCAGCTCGTCTATGGTGGAAATTCGACTGTATCTAAACGTTCTCGAGTCACTGTCCGGTTGAAAATTGTATGTTACCACCGAATATGAGTACTGAAGCAGTTTTTCTGAAACCACGTGCACCATTCAAACTGGCTGCCTTCAACGTTCGCACATTTATGCAGGTCGGACAACAGATAGGGCTGGCTATGTCTTTGGAAAGTCTTAATTTTGATGTTTGCTGTCTATCCGAGACCCGTATTCAAGACTCTGATGAAGTACTACAAATTCGATCTCCATCTGTCGCTTCGAAAAGCTTGTTTTACGTGCGCTTATCCGGGGACCCTGTGGCATCTTCGTCTGGTCTTGCTGGCGTTGGTGTCGCACTAAGCGCTAGAGCTGAGGCAGCACTAGTCGATTGGATCCCCATTAACAGTCGGTTATGTGCTGTTAGATTAGAAAGTTCCATCAAAGTGAGAAGAAATCGGCGTGAGAAACGATGTCTTTTCGTCATCTCCGCCTATGCCCCGACAGATTGCAGCCCGGATGCAATCAAGGATGAGTTTTACCACCAGTTAACTGTTCTTCTCCAGAAAGTGCGTTCGACAGATATTGTAGTACTAGCCGGAGACTTGAATGCTCAGGTCGGGCGTCTAGGCACAGAAGAGAGTCGTTTAGGTGGCCGATGGGGACTCGTTGGTCGCAGGTCAGATAACGGGGACCGTCTACTGCAACTTTGCACAGACCACAACCTGTTTCTGGCTAGCACTAACTTTCGGCACAGTCATCGCCGATGTGCCACCTGGCGTCCTCCCTCTGCATCTCAAGCCTGGACTCAGATTGATCACATCGCGATCAGCTACCGCTGGCGTGGTTGTGTAAAAGACTGCCGCTCCTTTTGGAGTACCTATCTGGACTCTGACCATGCCTTGGTCTGCGCCAATCTTACCTTACTTTTCAGTGGACAACGAAGTGACCGCCACCAACGGATTGATGTTAGCAAGCTGGTTGCAACTTCTGTTGCAAGTAAGTATCGAACCGAGCTAGCCTCTAGGCTAGCTACCATTCCACCGAAAAGTATAGATGAGCATTGGTTGCAATTGCATGACGCCATGAAAATGGCGGGTACAGTCAGTTGTGGGTTCGCGAAACGTCCCGCTTATAAGCACTGGGTTTCTTCAGGTTCCTTACAACTCATTGAAGCCCGTCGGTCTACTCCGGGTGACCGTGAGTTTGACCATAAACGAAGGATGTTACGTAAGGAAATTGGGCAAAGCTTGCGTAAGGACCGAGAAGCCTGGTGGTCGTAGCGTGCTAATGAGCTGGAAGCAGCAGCTGCATCTGGTAATTACCGGAAGCTCTTCCAACTCATCCGAGCCACTGGCAGCAAGAAGTCTGGTGTGAGTGAAACAATCTGCGAGGATGATGGGATGCCAATCACTAACATCCATCGACGTCTTGGACGATGGGCAGAATTTTTCGAAGGGCAGTTCAACTGGCCTGCTGCTCCGGCAACATCGGTCAGACTGTCCTGCCCTCCATGGCCGGTGACGACTGATCCACCAAATGAGGCGGAAGTCCGCAAGGAACTCCAACTCTTGAAGCGCTACAAATCACCTGGCCCAGATGACTTACCTCCGGCATCTTTTTAAAGGTGGTTGTGACTTTCTGACTAAGGAACTGACGACGTTGTTTACAAAGGTTTGAGAACTAGAGAATGTACCAACGTCATGGAATGAGTCGATAGAAATAGTCGAGAAGTTCGTGTATCTGGGTAGCTGCATGAGTGCTGGTGGTGGCGTGAGTGATGAGATCACTGCATGTATAGTGAAAGCCAGAGCGACTTATGCCAATCTGGGCCATCTTTGACGCCTTCATGATGTTAGTCTGGCCGTAAAATGTCGGATCTAAAATGCGTCGGTGAGAGCAGTTTTGCTCTATGCTTGTGAAACCTGGCCTCTCCGAGTTGAGGACGTTAGACGACTCTCTGTGTTCGATCATCGCTGCCTCCGAAAGATTGCTGACATCCAGTGGCAACACCATGTTAGTAATGCAGAGGTTCGGCATCGTGTGTTTGGGCACAGAGACGATAATTCAATTGGTGTCACCATATTGAAACACCGACTTCAGTGGCTTGGACATGTTCTCCGAATGTCGTCCCAGAGAATTCCACGTCGTGCATTATTTGCCGACTCTGGGACTGGTTGGAAGAAGCGGAGAGGTGGTCAGTGCATGACATGGTGTCGTGGCATGAAAGAAAGCTGCAAAGGACTGACTGTGGTCCGAGAGATGGTGCTACACAGTGGCTAGAGACGTTATCAGATATGGCTCAGAATAGAAGCCAGTGGCGATCCTGTTGTAGCCTTCTTTTACTTTATAAAAGTGGCTGTATCTTCCTTAACTGAAAGATTTGTTCTGATTGTACCTTTCCGTTCCCCCATTATGACTATGATTATTACTACACTACCCCACACCAATCTCTTCGTTATTGTTTTTTATTATTTTGTTTTTGATGTTCCTCACTTTTTTTTCTTCTTAGATTCTCATTGTTTTGGCTGGCGCATATATACTCGGTGCACTCCTGTACCAATATATATGTGTTCAAATAAATAATAATAATAAATATGCATCGTAACTAAAATTATTTTGCACATTGTCACGCGTAACCTCAATGTAATTTTGTATTTGTATTGCAGTCGGAATTCGTCTACCTAAATGCCTGTTTACAAGTTTGGAAATGAGAGTATATTTTTTAAAATTTATAATTTTTTAAAGTCAGTCATTCATACTATTTTTTCTTTATACATTATATATTCAGAAATATTATGGAATCTAATTCAGCAATATTTCCAAAGAGATCCTAATCGTACCCGAGTTGTGATAAACAATTCTTCGCCTAATTTTCAATCATTTATAAAGTGAGCACATTATACGGTTGTTTTTAGTTCATTACGTTTATTAATTGGGTAATGTTTTATCATATTCTTACTTGGTGACTGAAACACTTTACTTTTACTGTTAGGTCGTAAGTTCGAAACCGGCTCCACGTACTTCGATTTGACTAACTTTAAAGTATCACTAGAACTTGCACTATTGAAGTATGGCTCAAAGTTGAATTCAAACATCTGTACATGGTCCATGAGTAAATCAGCCAATCAGTTGACAATACTACGGGACTAGTTCTTATCTAGATTTCGAATTCTTTGGATTCTCTTTTTAAATCACGGATCGACATCTGCTTCAAAGTCGTTTCTCACGAGTCCTTTAATGTTTCAGGTCTAAAGTCGCATGTAATCGTGAATTTTTGTTGGAGTCCTGAACTAGGTCCTCTACTTCTGAAAATTCTCCATACAGTTTTCATTTCATGATAAGCATTATTTTCAGCTTTCTTGCGAAGTAATGACCTTCAAGTTGAATTTTAGTTCAACCTGATAAGTAGGTTGTGTCTTTATCGTATATTTTATGATGTTAAATCTGAATGATGAGAGCTGTGACATTCGTCTGTTTTGTGGATGTCATTATTGTAGTTCCACTGAACCTATTCGTCTGAGATGATACACTCACATCTACCATGGTTTTTTTCCAATATATTCGTTTTATATATTAGATTGGTTCAGTACTGTATGCATTCAAATTAACCTTTTTTCATCTTTCACTTGGGTAAAATGTTAACGTTTCCGGTTGTTAATCCTATAGTTTTAGCTCTAAATTCTGTTTATATGAATATACAACAGATCTAAGTTACTTTTCTTTTGATTTCCTAATAATACTGATATGTCACTTACATTCATGGTACATACATCCTCATTTTTATCAGATATTTATTACTTTAAATCTTTTAAAATGTTTGTGGTTTGTTGATATTTTAATCTGTATTCCATAATATGTTCCAAAATTTCCCTATAAAATACATCATTTCTGTCTTATCGACTAAAATGTGCACAAGATCAACATTTTCTAGTCTACATAATTGTTAGTAGTTTTTGGTGGAGTTTTGTTCTCTGAGCTGGATGGTTTGGTCGTCGAGCTTTCATCGTTCTTCTGAACGACATCATCAGCACAAACTTCAGATAGAAGTGAAGTGTTCGAATTTCTCCATATGTGTTTCACAGCTTGTTCTGTGCACCTCGATGCTGATTGGTTCTTATTGGCCTTAAATTTATCATTGTTTACTTCTTTGTTTTAGTTGTGTCTCCCATTGGTTTGATTTTTGTTCCTATATTCATGCATGATTTTCCTGATTGGCTGATAAATTGGATTGATTTCGAAATGTTTGTTGATTGCTGATTGACCTGAGTGCCAGGCTTCTAAAAATTCTCTGGTGTTTTTGGAGTTTTCTCTGTCTAAGATTTCTACATTTTTCCAATCGAATGAGTGTCCGTTGTTATCCACGTGTATTGATATAAGTGAAGAGATATCATGGCTTTTGACTGCTAATTGATTTTCATGTAGACGAAGGTGGAAGGGGAGTCCTCTTTGACCGATGTAGTGTTTGTCGCAGTTTGTACAATTTATTTTGTAGATGATGTTTGAATTTTTTTTCTTCTGTTAATTCATCCTTGGGTTTGCATATGATTGATTGTAGTGATTTTGTCGGTTTGTGTGCCACACCTATCTTCTTCACCATCTCAATTGTTAGTACTCCATTCTATTATTCTATATTCTGTTTGATGAATCCTCATTATTTCTTTTCTATATACTCATATGATCAATTGTTAGTATACAATAGAGATTCGTTTATATCATAGTTAATAAGAGCATATGATAGTTCATTGCTTAGTTTTTCATAAATATGCGTTCATGTACTAGTTTTTTGTCCTATTTATTAAAATGGTCTTAAAATGTTTTTTTACTTAACCGACTAAATTACATGTCAGTAGAATAGTGTTTTAACCATTAAACATAATTGTTGATAAAATCTTTAAATCAATTAACCTTAGTTACAGTTTTGCTAATAAGTTTAGTAGATTTAAATTGTACTTACTTGTATTTATCGATATCCACTTTTCAATGTAAAATAGATTTTGTTTCCTTTTTGATAACCCCATTAACATTATCATTATTTATCAGTTGAGACTATTGTTATAATTTATATTAACCCATTGTAAGAAAACAATATAGAATATAAAAACATCCGATATTATTTAAACCAAACAAGTTCGGCATTAGTAGTATGACTATTTTGAATTATTATTTATTTTAAAGCATATAGTTGGATTTACATGATCATCATATAGTTTTATTGATGTTAAGTCATTGTTTACTGACTAAAATAGGAATATCATATTAAATAACTAAAGATTATTTAATCAGAAACTTACAGTGGTCTTGAGTGCTGTTAGAGAGAGGTATGAGTGCGATTATCACTTCCCGGTTGCCCACTCCGTGGAAGGGTTCTTCTGGAGGTACCTGAAAATGAAATTGGATTAGAGGTGGTCTTAGTGACCTGAGAGCGTTATCATAATGCCCAAGAGACAACTGCTTGAGGTCGATCACACATGAACTTTTTGTGAGTTATATTTGTGTTAGCTACGTACTTGTTGAGACCTTACTACCGGAGACGGATATACGTAGGATAAGATGAGGTGTGTATTTTTAGGATCGACCTTTTCTAACCCCACTCCTCCTTGTGGGAAGGTAACATCGCTGTTATGCTGTTTGTCTGAAGGAAACATCTTACTGCTGTCACACCTCTGTACAGTCAGCAGTACGACTTCGCCTTCGGACCTTAGGTTTGTTGCTTTTAGTGTTACCGCCCTTCAACCAACCTGTTTGACATGGTAGGACCTTGAGGAACGATTGTTTCAGCCAGTATATCTCGATTGGTTCATCACGATAAGAAAGTCTGACCACCACGTCAAGGTAACAACAACGGTCATTTTGACTGACTGATTGAATCAGAAAGATAATAACAGTCAGTATTAGTTTAAACTGCTTATAAAATTGTGAAACTGTTCACTATTTTAATATTCATTTTATTTTAAAATCATTGAGTGAAACAATTTAACAATGATAAATAATCATTCGGATTATTTTTTCTTCCATGTTTTCTTTTTTTCCAAGTTATCTCTTTTATTTCCTCTAATTATTTTCTAACATTATCTTATTTCTACATGTATAACACCTTAAAGCAATACATTGTTACTATGCAATATTACATTTATTCAATTGATATTATTCTTATCTATTCAATATCATAATCAATTTTAGAACGTTTTAGTTATTAGTGGTGTGATTATGATACTATTTTTTTAAAATTTCTTTTGGAATTGTCTTTTAGACAAACACCTTAAAAAGTTAATCATGGAATGTCAATATGTACCCTTATTATCATTGTTATTATTATTTTTATGTTCTAGTTGTTTATCACTAATTATATCTTCATTTACATTTAAACAAATATAATTTATGTATCAAGTAAATTATTTACATAAATTAAATAAGATATAATAACAGAATTGTAATAAATCTTTGCTTAGATTGTAAAAGATCCCATATTAATTGAAATGATCTATTATATTAAATTTAGATTTATATCAGATGGGTTTTGTGGATATTATAGTAATTTCAATGGTTAAGATCATGAGTCAGTTGAAGCTAGACCACCATGGAAAACCTGGAAGCACTGGACGGCCTTTTCATTCTATTGTGGGACTCCTCAGCAGTGCGCATACACGACCTCGCCCCCTGCGAGATTCGAACCCAGGACCCACTGGTTTCGCACGCCAGCACTTAACCACTAGACCACTGAGCCGGCATCGAACGGCGTTAATGTCTAACTTCAACTAATCCACGAAGTTGAGTGACACATCTACCATTGTCTCCAGTAAGTTTCTATCTCGCAACAGACCTGGTTGACCTACACTGAGGAGTCCCACAATAGGATGAAAAGGCCGTCCAGTGCTTCCAGGTTTTCCATGGTGGTCTAGCTTCAACTGACTCATGATCTTAACCATTGAAATTTAGATTTATTGTTAAGTAATTTCATGTAATCAGTCCATTCTATACTGTTTTTCCTATCTGTCTTTTTTTGTTTTTCACTTCTCCACAAGGTTATTCTTTTTTATCTATAACATTCATATAGTTTTATTTATTTGTTTTCTTTCTTTTTAATTTATCTTCTATAGGTCTTCAGTTGCGTTCAATTAATATTACAACATGTTATAATGAAGACTATTTATATAACTACAAAAACTTTATATATCTATTCAATGTTAATTATTGTATCATAAAGTTTTGATCCCCTCTTTATTAATCAATTCATGTAATATGTAATTATTCTTTTTGATATATCTTCTTTTTTTTTGTGGCCTTTCCTATTATTACTGCACATTTATATGTATATTTATAGTTGAATGTACTACAAATACGATTTCTTACTGTATTATTATTGTGACTATTTTTCGAGTGCCTTTAATTATCATTTTCTGTTCTATTTGTTGTTGCTGTTTTTTTGTTGTTGTTGAAACAACTGAGCGGTTGTACTTAATTATGTAATTGGCTTTAATCTAATCTATTGCACGTATTTCGGAAAAATGAATCTTGTTATATATATATATATATATATTCTCATCTTTTTTGTTCTATTCTAGGAAAGCTCTTTATTCTGTCTATATACGTAACTTGTAACAGTGTGTACATTCTGAAAGTTTTCTATACCTTTTTTCTTTCTTTCTCATTTTCTTCATTGAATTATTGTATAATCAAGTCAACTGATTCTTTTTATTAAATATTGGGCTGTGCTGTCTATGTTTCAACTGCGTTTAAAGTGGTTAATTCCTACAATCCATCATATATATATTCTTTATATTGGTTATTTGCTTTATATTCTTATTATATATATTTATTAATCAGGCTGTGATATATCAAAGGGCACAATTTCAAGTATATTCTTTAACTAAATTTGTTATATACATATATATGGATTAATATTTACGCTTGCCATTGGTATCCTAGTCATCATTCCCATGTTTATACTTCAACAAATTACGTACATTGTTTTTGTGATTACTCTTTTTTTTCTCTTGTTAAAGCACATATTTCTATTTTAACTCTAATAACTAGTATAGGTCTGTATTGTCCAAATCCATTTATGTTTATATGTACTTTTTTATTATAAATTAAATTCACTTTATTTGGTGTTTTTATAAATTCTGTGTTCTCATTTTCAAATAGTAAGGTTTATTTTTAATGTTAATTATCACCTGTTGTACAGTATGTGAATACATGAGTACTATAGGTACTTGTAATTTTTAGACTTAAATAGTGGCGGTATCACAGTCAGTCACGACTAGTTTTTTAATGGGTTTTTACGATCGTTTATTGGGAACCTATTTTACGTTTACATATTCTTCTTGTCCGTCAACAACACGTAAAATTCAACCTTATTTTCATACTGTGTCATAGTCTGACAAAACTTTTTGATCATTTCCCGAACATTTCAGTTGTTCTTTTGATCAGTGTTCAGTACTTAGGTAGAACATATCGTACAACTGGAATGGAGATTTTTCCAATAAAAACATCTGGTTTACTGACATCATTGTATATAAAATTGCTACTTCATAATCTGATTTAAGACAAATTAGAATTGAATCGCTGTATATATTACTTTTCGTAGTTTAGGATGGAATCGTAGAAATTAAACACAAACAAATTCACTTGGTGTTGTTTACTTGTCTGTTATTTGTAGTCTAGGCTGGATGTCATGCAGTGTGCTGAAGCTCATTTCAAATCAAAGAATTCAAAAGCCGTTTTCATCTCATTACAGCTTTCTGTTTGTCTAAGTAAGCCGCTAATTTTAGAATCCAGTTTCTCTGAATTCAGTTTATTACTCGCAAATATATATATTTTTTACTAATCAGCAAACATCCTTCAAAATTAATTGATAATTTATGACATCATCTTATTTCTATCAGTTTTTAGTTTCTTGGTAACCAGATACACCTACACGACGTTAACCCTCGAAATGCCTACTTTTATCACTGATAAACGCTGGAAACTCACAGTATATAGTCAACTTGGTATGTTTAGCTGAATCCTGTATTTTTAACAAATTTAACGTCTGGACGTTTGTGATCAGGTTGTAGTTTTTTAAAGAGGTAGTTTATTAACTAGTTTGTGTGAATAATTGCAATTATTTCCCATGGAACTTTAAGCTCTACTCTTAGAATTAACTAGAGAACTACTTAGTTTTTTGCTATATATTTCATCATTGATGCTATAGTCAAATTCGCTATTTTATACCAGTCTCCGATAAGTTAGTTGGCTGGACTGTAATTTTATGGAGAAACCAATCAGATTTAGAGTGTGTTCTTTTGGGTTTCTGCGCAAAATTCAACTACTCATATGGTTCGTGAAAACGTTTACTCTAATTCCTAATCATAGCTCCTTATTTGAAGTATCCATAACAATGGAGCTCAGTAATTCTTAAGCATCCATAATTAGAAACAAAATTCAACAAGTATCTCTTTTCAATTACCTTGTTATCAAGCTTTAATAACACCTCTACAATAAATAAACGTCATATTTAAATATATTTCGAAAGTCTAGTGAATCATACGATATTGTTCTTGTATTTCCACATGAACTCCAGCAGTTCAACCCTACTGTGCTAGATTGTAGATATATTAACACAGTCAATTCATAACAACTTAATAACCTGAAATAATAAACAATTAGATATTTGAGCGAACTAGGATTTTATTTGGCTTGTTGTAGTGCTGTTTGATCACTGGTTAATAATAAGATACTAGTTATTGCATCAAATGCAGTGAATTTTCTTTACCTGAAATGGGCAAACAAACCACAGATTGGAAAAAAATCTCACTGAATTTGTGTAAAACTCAAATGATAATGGGTTTGAACATCTCGCTCATACGTGGATCGGCCAAAATACATAAACTTGTTTAGCCGTTACTTCATGTTGTGGATATGTTTAATTGAATCGAATACTAGATCACTCAATGGTTGGAACTAGTTAGAAGGCAAGTGTATGTTCGTATTCCTTATATCATAAGCCTTATTTCCGATTTGTCGGTTACAGTATCCCACACTGACAACCACTTTTGGTTTGATCTTGTATAATTATTATTCATTTTATGGTATGATGATACCTGGTTTGCGGAAGCTGATATTGTGTTCTGGTCTTGGCAAGTTTTAATTCTGAGTACCAATAAGGACTCAGAGTTGATTCTTGGCTGTTTGTGCTGCTGTCCATCCACTAATATACAGAAGATAATACCTTGATACGATAGGCTGAGTGGTTTATTCTTGAGGTTAGCAACGCATGAGTTCGAAGTTAGACTAATTGCGTTGGGCAGAAAGATGAAAACTACTCTATCACTTGGTTGCTTGACAAGCGCGCGTGAAGGAGAAGATGAGACAACTGGAACGCTATTGGACTTGTTCCCGATTCGGATTAGTGTAAAAAGGTACGTGAATAAATAGGTGACTAACATGACCACAATGCAAAAGCAATTAGGGAAATACAATTACGTCCAAAACCGGGGATTAGGGCAGAAAAATAGATTAGCAAAAGCTGCGTTTATATCACAATAACTTAGGAACAAAAATGGATAGTTCAGTGAATCATGCTTTAAACGGAAACTTATGGTTTGTTTAATAAGCTTGAAAGAAATTAAATATTGGTGTTTTACGAGCTTTGAATTAAGTAAAATAACGTACCCGTTGTTTGCTATGGCTTCTCTGTTCACATCATTAGCTCATTATTGGTTCAGCGTGGGGACAAGGTCACGTGAGTCTGTGTTCTGATTGGCGGTCTTGTTACGTAATATTTAACGGGCCATTAGTCATAACAATTTAGTGACGGGAATTTCGCGGAAAAATGGAGAAAAAAATTGTAACATGGACCTCAAAATCAGCCATAATAACTACCAGGGTTTTCTGAACTAAGGAGATAATCTCAGCATTAAAAAGTGGCACTCTTTTCTAAATAATTGGAATAACTTGCAGCAGATTCTTATGAATAAACACTTGAAATCCATAGGAAAACTTCTAACGGGGCTACTGAATAGTTCATATTTTGGAGATATGATGAAAATTGATTACTTGATTTAAAATTTGCATACAGAAGTTGAAAACGGCTGCAGAATTAATGTGTGGGTGAAGGGCTGTGTAAATCGTTAATAAACATTGATTTAAACGATACAATGGCAGCCATACATGATCCTCGAAGTGTTCCTGTAATGGGCATTTCGGAAACATTCTCTGTAATAGCTTCAAATCTAGTTCTTTCCGAAGCAGAATGTAAAATCAGTGAATTGTCTAGCTCAAATACAAAGGGAAAAGAAACAGATAATTTTTTAAATGAAACTCCGAGTCCAAAACTGTGAAACTTAACTCCAGCCAAAACAACCTTATATTTCACTTGATACTTGTTGAGAAAGCTGAAAGGACTCTTATTCAAAAACTAGTTGGAGCAGTACAATGAATACCAGAATCACTGTGAGACAAAATCTTCCTAGTGACTTAACTTCTTATCAGATTTTTCATGTTATTTTACCAGATATTAGATTGTCTTAATGAACCACATATTTTTGATGAAATTTACTACAAAAGTAAGAAAAATATTTCGAATGAACCAAATCATGATCGGAAATCTGATGCTGTTTTTTCTAATGATTCACTTGTAGTGACTCACGTTTATCACGAGAACACGACTGGTTTAATAAAAACAATTATTATTATAACCAACTGTACCAGTGTTTGTTTTAACGTGCTTTTGTTTGACTGTGCTAATGACAGCTATTTCGTGCTTCCATTCTTATACTTACACTTCGATTGTAACTTCGCGCGAATTCGGTTACCTTCTGTAACCAAGGTTGTATCCTGGCACGATCTCGGTATCCTTTCGATGCCACGAGATCGCCAGCAAATATACACCTCGACTTGGTCCATTAACTGCCTTCTGATATTCGGCTTCTCGGGGATTTTATGGAGTCATTTGGAACGAGCTTCTTACGCCTTCTGATCTATTTGGCACGTGTTTCTTGGTAGCGGTGTTCATAGTTAATCACAACTCGACGCCACGCTACATTGGTGACCCGTATTTTGGAACACGCCTCAACTTCTGATCAAATCTTCCAAAGAAGCCAATTCGGTGAGTCTATGATTTATCTATCCACGTCTGTCGTATATTTTCATATTTTTTAATATATAATATACACGACATGACGGATAACGATAAGAATAGTATTAATATAATAGACTCACATGTACGTGTACCGAATCCTTGTTACTTTTTTTTCGCGTGACGATGAATTCCACGCTTTATTCGAGAAATGTTACCCTATTAACGATTCTCCTCGCTGACCCGGCTGCTTGGTACGGAATGCATACGCATAAGCATATCCGTCTACCACCCAGCACCAAATGGTTAAGTAAACGGTTTCACTGCCAACTTAAAAGTACTCCACGAGCACACGAAAACGGCAACTGGCACGAAACCTTACCGCTCGTTCTTTTAGGGATCAGAACGAGCTTAAAGGCAGATATCCAATGTTCCGCCCTGAACTTGTATACGGCACGACATTGCGTCTGCCCGGAGAATTCTTCACACCACGGAGCAGACCTAATTTCGGTAAATCAGACTACGTCCATCGACTGTCTGCATTTATGCGAACGCTGTCTCCGGTGTCAACTCGAATACAACATCGACAGGTCGCTCTCCCTCGAGAGTTATCTACCTGTTCACATGTTTTTGTACGAGTAGATTCGGTACGCAAACCTTGGCAACAACCTTACGAAGGCCCTTTTCACGTGATCGCTCGTCACGAAAAGACCTTCAAGGTTGATCGATATGGACGCGTCGAGATCGTCAGCATTGATCGTCTCAAACCAGCACACGTCGATGACAGTGCCCTATCTGACACCCTGAGATTCAATGCTAGACCTATCAAACCTAGCGGGATCCTTAAATCTTCTTCAGGTCCCACGCTAGATACATCTGAGACCTCATTCTCACGTCCCAGTCAACAGCACGCGTCATCTGCACCGTCTACGGACGAGACGACAGTCTCACGTCCAGATCAGCAGACCACGCCGCCTCTGACCTCGGATGAGATTGCAGGCTCACGAAATACGAACGAGACTACCGTCTCACGTTCCGGTCGCCGAGTATGGTTACCCGTACGCTTCCGCGACTAGCCGCACAGTTAACAACCGATACGGTGTAGGACTATTCCTATGCTACACACATGCTACACTCTCCTCTTTTTTCCTTTTCTTTTTGTTTCCTGAGCCCACGCCTTCGACCATCTCCGTTTGGTTCCGTCGACTTCAGTCAACTTTGGCGAAAGCTGGCCTGATCACCCACGCTCTTGTCAACGTACTCAGTCGATATATTGGTTTCGAATGCTTGGCCTACGCTTGGTCTCGAACTTGGTCGTTATGGTCGCTTCTGGTCTTTTGGCTCAACGTGGTTTCGTCCTTCGTCTGCAGCGTTTATGGTCCGGACCCTACGAACGCCCTCTTCAGATTCTGGATACAAACCACTCTGGTGTAGCATGCCAACTCAAGCAACAAATACAACACATCGCTCCTGGTACCGTTCTCCGAAAACGACCTCCGTTGGCAACTCGACGATCAACGATCGCTTTCCTGTTCGCCAATTCTTCCGTCCTACAATCGCTCGTCAGCCGATCAGTCCCACGATTCAAACCGCTATTTATCGAAAGTGTAAACCCTTTCTAGCGGGGGGCTCCTGTAGTGACTCACGTTTATCACGAGAACACGACTGGTTTAATAAAAACAATTATTATTATAACCAACTGTACCAGTGTTTGTTTTAACGTGCTTTTGTTTGACTGTGCTAATGACAGCTATTTCGTGCTTCCATTCTTATACTTACACTTCGATTGTAACTTCGCGCGAATTCGGTTACCTTCTGTAACCAAGGTTGTATCCTGGCACGATCTCGGTATCCTTTCGATGCCACGAGATCGCCAGCAAATATACACCTCGACTTGGTCCATTAACTGTCTTCTGATATTTGGCTTCTCGGGGATTTTATGGAGTCATTTGGAACGAGCTTCTTACGCCTTCTGATCTATTTGGCACGTGTTTCTTGGTAGCGGTGTTCATAGTTAATCACAACTCGACACCACGCTACACACTATTCCTCAATGAGATTTTTGATAAATATGAGAAGAATATTTCAGAAGAATCAATTCACTGTGAGTTCAAACTTAATTGCAGTTCGGATGATCTCATAACAAATGTTGTTTATCTTCATGATAACTGAACAAATCACATAGTAAAAGATGTAGGAACAATATTATTATAAATAAAAAAAATTAGGCATCCAAGATACCATTCAAGTGAATGCATATTTGCGATAAAAATAACATTGCCAAGAACTCGAAAACTTAAAATTTAGGTGTAGACATATAATAGGTGATCCTACATCACTGCAGTCGGCTTTGCGTCATGTTATTCGAAATCTCTAACCATTAATAACGGTAATCACTATCAAATAGTACTATGTTGCACGAGGCATGCCAGTTTAAGGACAAGATTAAGACGTTACAAATGCTATAGGATTTACTGTATTTATTTACTCAATTATATTTTTATATTATCTGACATATCGGTCATGGAAACAGAGGGATAAATTCCCGTGCATTAGAACATGAACGGCGTGGTCACATTGCCTCTTGTTTTTTGTATCAAATATACTACTCTCCTCCCAGGCTAGATGTGTTCTTCAGAGATTCTAGACGTTGTACTTGCTTTTATTAGGTTAATTTCAATGGAAGTGTATTTCAGTTAGTCAAATAAAACAAATCGGAAGTATGGAGACTGGAGATGTCACAAGTATTCGGAATTTGACAACAGTTTCACCAGTAACACCTATTATGAATCGTGCCCACCAGGTGAAATCAAAAGATAGAAGCGATAAGATTCGAAGATATATTTGATAGGTGGATCGACTTATCTGGTTAGCAGTTGCAGGAGATGTTGAGCACGTTTTCCCACTAGTGATCTGGTGCGGATGCATGACCGAGCGCCTTCAGCTAGGTGGGTTCATTAAAACTAATGTGGTCAGCATTAAATGTCAAAGACCTACAGAGCTATTTGTTTTGGGGATTTATTTACCGCGACGAGATTAATGGATTAAGAACTGTATAAGTAAACGCAATTCGAGAGATGTAAGGGTTTAAAATAATGTATGTTCCTGAAATGTAAGGAAAACACTGTGATTGGGTACAAAATTGGATTTTTTCATGGCAATTGTTATAATTTTATTATTTGCATCATAGCTTGTAGAGTCATGAATGGATTTAAATTAAACGTAGTTGCCTAGTTTAGCTTGCAGTAAGGTTTCTCTGTAGGAAGTGAAACCATTTAGGATTTACAAATATCAGTCAAAGAGGTTTTGGGCACTGAAAATTAATATTGATACTGTTAGTTAGTTACAACCCACTAGACCGTATGAGGCCGTAAGTTATTAAGGTGTTCTACCCTTCAGACAGGTGGATTGAGATTGTCTTCCAATATCATATTCACTGGCCAGGAAAAACATGCAATATCTTATTAGATTAGATAGTCACATAGTTGGAAATATACGGTTGCAGCGCAGGTCTATTATTCTGGTGGCACAAATAAGTGTACTAATACTTACCATTATCAAAATTCAACAAGCTCCCTCATGTTTATTGTACGTCTGAATAATGCTATAATCTAATCTCCTTAATGCACACATTGTTGAAATACATTCTGCACACTAGTTCCACACGACAAGCAAGTCAGATATATTAGACTTTCGTATCGTGGATTTGATATTCATTCAATGTATGACACTGCCATGAAGTTAAGTAAAGGTAAAAGTTATAAGATGCCGAACAGATAATACGTAGTCTAGTGATGGTAAGGACAGATAACCTATCATAGATTAAGAAAAACGTGTTTCGGGTTGCAAACTTTACGAGTAGGACGATAAGTAAGGAGAAAAACAAAACACTTAAATTCTAATAAACTTCGGACATTAGAACTTTTTTAAATGATTGAACACGAATTAGAGGGAAAACACAATATTTTAGGGTAGTTTGAGCTTTTGTGATTGATCATTGGTGATGAGCATCCACAGGTTAAGTGAGTTATCTGTCCACTTGAAATAGGAGCTAAAAAGGACATGGAGCATCATGGAATAAATGACACAACTGTAAACATTTAAGAAATTCCGAACATGAGTTTGGGGTGTTGGAGCATAAGGACATAGCTAAGTAGCAAGAGAAGAAAATCATTATGTTTTATCATTTGGCCTTCCAAGCTTGACTGAAGTTTAGGAGGTCTCTGACTACCGAAGTATGAGAGTTATTATTCTAGCGTGTGTATAAGCTGACGAATTTTTTATGACAACATCGAGAGGGGACTCCAATTTCTTGGTGTCGAAACCTGGGTTTTAGTGGCTCCAACAAGATAGCATCACCGTAAACATTCAGAAATACCGAGTCAGAAATAATTCTCCTGACTTTTTCATGTGTACCATTGATCCTCATAATATTTGCCCCATAGAAAGCAAAGTGGAGGCTGTTATATATAAGTAAAGAAAATTTAATGTAAGGCACATTTGCCGGAAAGAATCGTGCTATCGTACTGAGAAATGATACGAATACTCTTTCTTTCCTCAAACCGACCAGTCAATTTTACCACTTCACGGCATCATTCTCTAGATTACGGTGCAGCCCCTGATAACAGAAAGATTAAAAAACATTTTATATTATCGGATAGGGGTGAAAAGTCAACACACCATCGTAGAATTGTTAGGTCGACGTAGCACTTAGTGGATTATTGTATGTATACTAAACTATGCATCTCTTCCGCTCTCGTTTTTCAAGTCCTATAGATGGTTAGTTGCATTTTAAAATTTTTATTGAGTCAAAGATGAAAAACCATCCGTATGATTTATACGAGGATGTATACCAATATTAATCTGTACAGTTTGCATTCCTTAAGCACAATTCTATTAAACACTTGTTTTCAATTTTCCTTCTCATCTTCACAGGACAGCTGGAAATAATGGTGAAAGTGAAGACGAACTTTAAAAGTCCGGTTATTTTTTCGTTATTACTAATAAAATCACAGCTTTTATGAACATGAAGTGCTGTAGAATCATGGTCTCCTATTAGTGCTGCTCTAATAATGGACGTAATCCAAAAATGTGGATTCGTCATGATGTACCTGCCTAATTTATAAGATCTTACGTGGAAGTCACCATCGTCTACTCTAACTCATCGTATCTTGACAATCATCAATATATGATGAAGAACACGTTTAAGCTGGAGATAGAACAATCTATTCAATATGGACAAAAAAATGGCATAAGTACGAACAGGCATGCAACGCCTAGCCATGCCATCCGATCAACTCGAACTGATTGAATTAATTGGGTTCATTCTTCTCGCCTTCTTCATCGTTGGGTCTTCTCCATGTTAAATATTGAATATCTATTTTCCCAATTTTCTTGTGTTAAGCTTTATAGTTTGTGTGGTTAGGGCCCAATGTCACTACAGTGCGTTTACCAACAGCATGATCGTTAGGTCTAAACTCTTAGTTTCTTCTTGTTTCATCTTAGGGTTCTCACCGCTCCACTAGGAGTAGTGGTGAATAAATTTGAGTTACAAATAGCTCTGTAGTTTTTTAACATTGATGCTGACTAAATATACCACAGTCAAAAGACTTTCAGTCACAGTCGCATCAGTTCACGGTTATGACTCGTCGTTCGGTGCATCTACTACACTAACTGGACAGTCTACATTTTGTACATAACCGGCCATTGATCTCCACCTGCGTTCCTTGTTCTCAACTCCTTGTTTTATTACTTTTGGAATCATTTCGGTGTATTCTTGCCGAATCCTGCGTATCTACCACTTATTCACTAATGAGCCTTGATGTGATTTGATACTCAAATAGTTGAGTTGTGAGTTTGTTTCTTGTGATTATGTTCTATATATTTTTTTCATATATTACAATGCTCTTTGTTTCCTTGAATTTGTTTGTAATATTTCTGATAAGTTCATTTCAGATATTCATTTATGCAGACTGAACTCAGGAGTTGCAGTTTGAAAAGAGCCTTACATTCTACCTGAAATATTACTTATTACGATAGGCAATGTACCTCGAAGTATACATTGCATAGTACTAGAAAGAAGGCAATTATTTGAAAAGATAAGTAATGTACAGGCACACATACAAACGCAAAAAGACTCATACTTGGAGAACTGTGATGATGTGTTTACTGAGGGCCACAGTTCCTTATGAAGAGAATATAGTTATTGGAAAGGTGGGAACTACTTAACAGTGACATACTGTCTAGATTAGTAAAGTATGTCCCGAAGCTAAGGCAAATCACGTCGGCGTGCAATAATAGTTGATACATTTTGCTAAGCTGGAACTTTATCCAGCACATGATTATGCAACACGATGTCATTATACAGAAAAAATAATTCTGTTATTGAGATTCACTTTGATAATCATATTAAGACCTTGTAAGCCTCTTTTCGATCGTACATGGTACTATTGAATATTGTATTTGCACAAAGAGGTTATTTAAACTGCGGCGGTAGTAAAATTAGTAACACGGTAAGACAGAGATGGCGTTTGGTTGAGAATGATTCATTTATTGATTGGTTTGGTCTATGCCTTTAATTGGACAGTTGTAGTCGGTTAGAAGCTGACTGGACTCTAACGGCAATTCCAGACAACTGGTTGATCGACACAACTCGAGTTGTGTAGTAATTACTACACAGTTTACCTCGGGTGATCTGCCGTTAATTAGTCATTTCAGTTTAGTTGTTAACGCATATAATGCGTTTATCTACTCGTATTGAGTAATTTTTAGTTGAAAGAGCTTGTATAAAGTTAATAGTCACCTGTGGGCAGATTTACCCATAGAAACTGCGAACCCCGTTTGTAAAAGACCGTGCTTACTGTTTCCGAACTTTTGTTGTTGTTGAAATAATTGAAACTTTGGACTTTTAATTGTCACTCTGGAGTATTTCGCAACCTTGGTGTTTGCTTTAATACTTGGATATCTCAATTGTTTCTATTCAGTCAATATTTGTTCCTATTCATATAGCGACTTTTCAGGCTGCTAGGGAGAATCGGCAATCGGTTTGATTCTTTGGATCCGTATGTTTGTTACAATTGTCGTGCAGTTTATGCTGTTCAGTGCCACAGTCACATGATTGTTAGCAAAAATTTCGGAGTTATCTTTCTCACAAGTAATTCCCGTATATTATTTAAATTTCTAAAATTAAATTAAAGATCTAGGTTTCCTTCTGTATACAATCTTTTCACAAAGCTTCCCTTGTGTGACTTAACAATAGTTTGTATTAGTCAATATGCAGTAACCGAGTCTTAAAAGCTTTAACGAGGTGACTTGCACTCAGTTGGAACTTTAAGTGATATAGCCCCGTAATTTTGTGAAGATGCTGAGAAAGATTTGTATTGTCGAAGTGCTACAAACCTGGTACAGTAGCAAATTTGAATTTCTGGAATTCAATATTCCATATGTAGGCTAAAGGTTAGAGTATGAGTCGCCCATCCGGTCATCACCGTTTCCAATTTTAAATACGGTGATTACGACCCAACCGAAGCTGCTACCTTGACGCGGTGGTCGGGCTTGCCTATCGTGATGACCCAACCGAGCTATATTGGCTGGAACATATGTTCCTGTAGGTTCTACCATGCCAGGCAGGTCGATTGGAGAACGGTAAGACTAAAAGCAGCAACTCAAGGTCTGAGGGCGAAGTCGTACTGCTGACTGTAGAGGGGTGTGACAGCAGTAAGGTGTTTCCCTCGGACAACCAGCATGACAGCGATGCTGCCTTCCCACAAGGAGGGGTGGGGTTAGAAAAGGTCGACCCTAAAAATGTCACACCTCACCTTACCTCACGGATTTCCGTCTCCGGCGGTAAGGCCCTTTGAAGAACGGAGCTAACACGTCAAAAACCTTCCACAAAAAGGCCGTGCGCGACCGGCCTCAAGCAGTTGTCCCTTGGGCTCTGCGGTCACGCTCCCAGGTCGTCAAGACCAACACTAATCCAATTTCCTTTTCAGGTTCCTCAAGAAATACCCTTCCACGGTGTGGGCAGCCGGGAAGTGACATCAGCCCTCATACCCGTAACAGCACAAGAGACCAAGTTGGTCACATTCAAATCCTTCCTACACCTCCTAATACCTCTCTTATCTCCATGACTAACCCTCCTCACGTCTCTTTATCACCTCGCACCGCTAGGGCAAACGATTCGAGTACGTGGAACGCCATTCCTGGTCTCCTGAAACCACGCTCTAAACTACACGTAGGAGCTTTTAACGTACGAACACTTTGCCAAATAGGACAGCAGGCTTCCTTAGCTAAAACTTTAGAATCTCGCGCCATCGATGTGTGCTGCGTCTCCGAAACGCGCATACAGGATCCAAGTAGCGTCATTCATTTGACCTCACCATGCCAAAATAAAGAACCGACTCGATTTACGCTTCGTGTATCTGGAAGCCCTGATTCTGCTTCCCGTGGCCTCGCCGGCGTAGGTATAGCATTGAGTCCTAGGGCAGAACTAGCTCTCTTAGAGTGGATCCCAGTAGACAGTCGTTTGTGCGCTGTCCGACTGAACGGAACAGTAAGAATCCGGAAAGATAGGGACACTCGTCGTTGCCTCTTCGTCGTCTCTGCCTATTCTCCCACTGACTGCAGCTCAGATGATGTAAAAGATGAGTTTTACAGAAAGCTTTCGGACCTTCTCCGAAAAGCTAGCGCTCGGATGTAGTAATAGTGGCCGGTGACTTTAATGCTCAAGTAGGTAAACTAAGCGATAGGGAAAGACACCTAGGTGGATCTTATGGTGTCGTGGCTCAAAGAACAGATAATGGCGACCGTCTGTTGCAGCTATGCTCAGATAACCGCCTGTTCCTTGCAAATACTAACTTTAAGCATAAGGAAAAACATCTTTTAACATGGCGACCCCCTAATTCGTCCCAACGTTGGACCCAAATAGATCACATCGCTATCAGCCACCGATGGAGGGGCTCGATAGAAGACTGTCGCTCATTCTGGAGCACATGCCTAGATTCAGATCATGCTCTAGTGCGAGCGCGTATTTGCTTGCGTCTTACTGGACGTAGGAAAGACGCTGCAAGGAAACCTCTTAGGGCCTACTTAATGATAGTCAAGCTAAGAGTATATTTCAGGAACAACTAGGAAAACAGTTAGGCAGCCATGTATGTGATGCCCACCCCGATGCAGCATGGAATGATATCCGAAAAGCTGTGGAAACAGCAGTGATATCTGCTAGTAAGGTAAACCAGAAGGTTAGGGAGCAACACTGGATCTCAGCAGCATCTATCGCACTGATAGATGCTCGGAAACTCATTCCACCTGGCTCTGAACATAATGAAGAGCGGAGTCAGCTTAAGCGCAAGCTGACAAGAAGTCTACGCAATGATCGCGAACAGTGGTGGGTAGCGAAAGCAAGAGAGATGGAAAAGGCAGCGGCAATAGGTAATAGCAGACAATTGTTCAGACTCGTTAAGGAAACCGGAATTAGGAACCCGACCGTTAGCGAAACAATCTCAGAGAAAGATGGACATATTCATTCTCAATCCAGGAGATTGGATCGATGGGCAGAACACTTTAGGGATCAGTTCAACTGGCCTTCAGCCACACTTCGGTTTCCCACGATCTCCAGTCAACCTGAATGGCAAGTTAATGTAGGTCCTCCGTCCCTTTACGAAGTTGAAAAAGCCATAGGAAATCTGAAACGAGGGAGAGCAGCAGGCCCTGACAGGTTTACTCCTGAGATTTTTAAGGATGGTGGTCCAGTATTAGCAATGAGATTAACTGAGGTCTTAGGTAGAATTTGGGAACTGGACGTAATCCCATCTGACTGGTCTCAATCACTGATTGTGCCAGTCTATAAGAAAGGACAAAAGTCCTCTTGTGACAATCACAGAGGAATCAGTTTGACTAATATAGTGTCTAAAATATTAGCTTCAATAATACTTCGACGCCTAATAAAGCTCGTGAAGAGCAGATTAGAGAAAACCAGGCCGGTTTTCGACCTGGACGTGGTTGTATAGATCAGATATTCACACTACGTCAGGTTCTAGAACACAGACACACATTCAGACGCCCCACAATGGTAGTATTTCTCGACCTTAAGGCGGCATTCGACTCTGTTGATCGTGAGGTTCTATGGCAGTGTTTGTCACTGAAAGGAGTACCAAAGAAGTACATTAACCTTATAAAGGCTCTCTACTCGAACACAACTGGTAGAGTGAGAGCTTATGGCGAACTGTCATCAGAATTGATTACCTCAAGTGGTGTTCGTCAGGGCTGTCCACTCTCCCCATTCTTGTTCAACTTTGTGGTCGACGTACTTTTAGAGATAACACTCTCCTCATCTAAATTTCCAGGGGTTGAACTTCTACCGGGAGGTTCACTTGTTGACTTAGAATATGCTGATGACATAGTTTTATTTGGTGAAGACGCTGACAAAATGCAGAGTCTTCTGACCACTCTAAGCAACAATGCAAGCATGTTCGGGATGCGATTCTCTCCCTCGAAATGCAAAATGTTGCTTCAGGATTGGGTTACATCGACACCCGAACTAGTGATAGGGAGTGAAGTAGTTGAGTGTGTCGACCGCTTCACTTATCTTGGAAGTCTCATCAGCCCTTGTGGTTTAGTGTGTGACGAAATCTCAGCACGGATACAGAAGGCTCGACTAGCTTTTGCCAACTTGCGTCATTTATGGCGTAGGCGAGATATCCGTCTATCAACCAAAGGACGGGTTTACTGCGCAGCAGTTCGTTCCGTCCTACTTTATGGCAGTGAAACATGGCCGGTAAGAGTAGAGGATATTCGTAGGTTACTAGTATTTGATCATAGGTGTCTTCGAAATTGCTCGTATATCATGGGACCATCGAGTAAGTAACACAGTTGTTAGGAAACGGGTACTAGGTAAGGATGGCAAATCAATTGATGAAGTAGTGAAACTTCATCAGTTGAGATGGCTGGGACACGTGTTACGTATGCCCAACGACCGACTGCCTCGACGTGCTATGTTCAGTGGTATAGGAGTAGGTTGGAAGAAAGCTAGGGGCGGCCAAACCAAAACATGGCACAAGTCCATGAAGTCACTGACAAGTGACTGAGTCATGTTGGTAGGTGTAGACTACCTGGTTGGGGACCGCGAGATGATAGCAACCGATGGTTAGAGACCCTGAATGACATGGCTCAAAATCGTTTGCAATGGCGCAGGTGCATCCACTCTCTGTGTTCTCCCAAATTCTAATCTTCTGAATTCTTCATGTCCCTTTTTTCCTCTTTCCAAATTTATTTCACTGGATTATACTCTTTAAATAACATCTCCAAACCCTAATCTTCCCGATTACTGCTTATACTCTTGCTACCTCTACCACTACGGGATTTGAATCGACAACTGCATCTCTGTGCTAATGTGGTGTGGCAACTCGAACTGATGTACGTACGTACGAAGTTCTACGTTGTTACTGACTGACTGTCTGACGGTGATTACGATGTGTATTCGTCATGCCTTCGATAAGAGTTCACGGTTAGAGTAGGGCACAACCTATGAGATTCCTTTGGCAAGACTAGATCTTAGCAGGAACTACTCCGCAAAATCAAAAATGGCTAGGGAATTTCCAAGGAACAGTAGGTTCCTCGTATCCTGTGAAAAAGTAGCCTATTAATACCATCTGTTCTAGATTTCTGCAAGACTATTGGCGCGCTTTGTAAGGTAACTTTAATGTATAATATATTTGAATTAAATTATGTCTTCCTGTTGTCCAGTTAAAAACATTGATTAACTCTAAATTTGTGAAATATGTGCTTATTGCCTTCAGTTCAACAAAATTGAAGTTTGGTGAAAACCCAGTGTAGTCTAACTAATGGTAGAAGCCTTTAATGCGCTATATAAACATTGGGATACAAGCAATTCTGAAGTTCCTTAAGGATGATGGTCCTGTTTCAGCAGTCAGACTTATTAGTATATTGACTGTAATCTGGGAAGTAGGAGCTATTCTGTTTGACCGGTCTCGATCTTTGATCGTTCCAGTTTATGAGAAAAGACAAGTAATTTTATGACAATCACAACGAAGTTAGCTTGACTAATATAATATCAAAAATTCTAATCGTTGCTTAACTGCAGCTTGAAAAGAGTAAACTTGGAAAAACTAAGCTAGTTCCAGACGTACGTATGTGTACCAAGTGTATACTATTTGTCAAATTTTAAACATAAGCATGCTTATAGACTCTCGGTTACAATGGTGTTCCTTGACCTTGGGATAGGACTCGACTAAGTCGAGGTTTTGTGACGTTATTAAAAGGTTTACTAAGGAATTTCGAACCCTGGTCAAGTTACAGCATGTGGCGAACTCATTGAGATTTTCAACCTCAAGTAGTGTTCGTCAGGGTTGTCCACTTTTTCCGTCATTTAACTCCTTCACAGACATCATCTCAGAGATAACGCTCTCATGATGTGACTTCTCAGGAACTGGTATCTTAATATGAAAATCACTTGTTCACTTGAAATACGCAATTGACGTTATGAATACATTGACAAGATACAGTCTTCTGACCACCTTAGGCAACAATCCAAGCATGTTTGGGATGCGATTTTGTCTCTAAATACAAAATGGACTAGTCTGCACCAGTACCCAAACTAGTAATAGGAAACGAAGTGTTCAAGTGCATTGACCACTTAACTTATTTGAGAAGTCTCATCAGTCCGGGTTTATTGGTTTTTGATGAAATCTGGGCGCGGATTCAGTATTCTGGGTTCGCGTTTGTGTCCATACGCAAACTGAAGGACGAGTTTTATGTTCAGTAGTTCACTCTTTTTCGTAGGTGTGAACCATGGCCTTTAAGACTAGAAGATACTCATGGGCTACTAGTATAGAACCACAGAAGTCTTCGAATCTGCTAGCGTATTTTGGGACTATCAAGTAAGCTAAAGTCAGGCACAAATTTATAATTAAAAATATCGAGTCGGTTGATAAGGTGGTAAACCATCATTAAATGAGGTAGTTAGAACATGCTACATATACCCAACTACTGCCTACCTAGGTGCCAATGTTTGATAAAGGAGTAAGCTGAGAGCTAGCAATGGTTAAGTCGATCTTTGATGTTAGTCTGTGAAATCACTGACTGTTGGACTGAGTCATGCTACGTATTTGGCACCTACCCATTTGGTAGATTTGATGTTTATCTTCCCTTGGTCCTTGAATCCCAAACGTACATCTTTCAGTCTTTTTTCTACTACTACTATCATTAATTCTACACCATGGTATTTTTTTGATAATTTTATCGCGTGTTAAATTGGTGTGGCTATTCGAACCGGAGCACATATTTTAGGTTCTACGTTGCTTATGACTGATCAACTAAATGTCTTCAAAAGACTACATTACTGAAGGAAGGAACAAACAAGACTAAAAAACATTGTGATTAACTGTTTGTTTATCATTAAATGCAATGCATTCGTCCAGTTTGAATTTTATTGAGGGGATTGATGTTACACATTTGGTTTGCATAATTTTGTATTAGACATTTCGTTCACTTGTGTGATTTATTTTTCAGACTCAGTTCCCTAAACTGGTGTTGGAAATTTATTTGGATCAATTTCCGGCGTTCACATATGCAATTACTTTGATTTTCGATCGGATTACTGGGAAACGGCATTCTTACTAGTCATCAAGTCCTTTTTTAATGCCTAGAATATGCACACTAAACTATATTATTCTCTGTTCAGGAGTTGTCATAACGTGAGAATCATGTTTTAATATAAAAGTTTAGTATTGCGCTGATATTCCTTGTTAGGTCGAACCAGTTGGATGAGAAAATTTTTCCTTACTCAAAGAGGTCTAATGGTTCAGTTTGTGTAACGAAGGTTAGCCACCAAACTTTTGATGCCTGTTCCTATTTTAACTTTTCATTTTCCGACATTACAAGTTGATTTATAAGTATATCCGGAGTGTGATGGTGATCTAAGGGTCATTAGAAGTGAAATAAATTTATAAGTTGCAAAAATCTTTGTTCGTTTTTAGTAAAACTATCAGGTCAACAGTGCTAAAATTCGACTCCGATTGTAGACAAATCGGATGATTAGGTTATGGACGTTATACCAGAAGAGATAGGTGAGTCATCATATAATGTTGTCTTAAGTATGATAAAGTGGAGTTTGAAGGTAGCCAGATACTACATAATGTCATGAAGTCGGTAATTGCCAGTACTTGTTTTAAACACAGGTGAAATTTTCGAGAACGTTGACTAAAATTGTTCAACCACAATGACAAGAAGTGAATGCACCCCTAATGTACATGGGATATTTTACCAATTTTCGACTCATTGATTATTTGAATGCTTTAGTATCTTCACACCTTTTAGTAAAATCCCAGTTCGCCACATTTTTCTTTCTAGATTTGAAACGTAATGAAAATCTAGTTGCTTATGATGTTGGCATTTGATTTAGTTCATATAAATTTTCCAATGTAATCGTGAATACATGAAAAGACATCTACAATTTACTATGAATTAAGTTTTGAGACTCAGTGGGTTCGGTACACAACTTTGGATGGGTTGATCAAATGTTTACTCAGCAATGTTTCCTCCATTTCCCAGTCAGTCATAAACATCGTAAGACCTGACGCAAGTAGGTATCGACCACCATCACTTTATCACACCAACATAGTGTAAGGAGATTGTCATACTGTATAGCAAAAGGTTCTGAATAGTGGTTTGGTCAATAGTTTAATTCATACAATTTAATCTTAACGTACGTATTTCTTATTATTCGACTGTTTTGACAATTTTTTCTAACAGGATGGAGAAGTAACATGTACAGAAAGCACACATCAAAGCTTGTCAGACTCATTTCGTCGCTTTATGATTTTTAAATGTTCACTAATTCTATTGGCACTATGCAGTCTTGCTATAATTTGTCACAGGCATAAACGTTTAGACCAGAAACTAATGCAGAAAGTCAACTTTCAGATTGCAGCTGGTGTTTAGTATCCTCTCATGAATCGTATCTGAATTTCTCACTGTGATAGTCCTTTTTGTTGATCTTATGATTTAAATCAATACTGTAACAATGTACATTTTAGAATATTATTTTTTCTTAAGCATCTAGTGAGACATACTTTCTGATGTTTGTTTATTTAGGTGCCTTGGTCATCACGCAGTGTACACTATATTCACGGATAACTCTCATGTTTATAGGGTGACCTAGTAATAATCTGATTGGTTAATGTCATTATAGCGTTTCAAAATTCTCATATTTAGAACATAAATCGTGGTGCAATAATTATATTCTAACACATTTGACAGTGTCTCATCTATTAACCAAACCATTCATGTATACACGTCCTACTTTATATAACGTCAAATTACTTAAAATAAAACTTGACATTAAACTATACGAGGAATAGTTTACACTTTGGGTATTTAAGATAAATTTCGTTAACGTTGCAACACGTAAACAACACTGTGAAGATATTTCCCATGGCAGCATTTAAGATAGTCATTTGAAGATGTCTCAACCATATGAGGTCACATACTTGATCAAATTATAAAAAGAGTACATTAGATATCCGTAAATAAGATTCTCTTGTGTCGAGCTGTGTCCGCTAGGACTGTGTCATGTAAAATGGGGTTTCTGATGTTCACACTTTTGCAGTCGACTAGTTTTAATCACCTTGTATTATATACCAGTTTAATAATCGAAAAATCAAATCTATTACATTTTCCCGGAACTAGTTGAGTAGCTTAGCTTACATGTAATGTAGCAGTAGTTCCTCGTGTCAGATTTAGCTTTATTGCAATTCCCCTAAAAATGTATACATCTTAAAAACAACAAAGAGCAGTAGGCAGAGACTGTCTCAATCATGTCAGTCAGTTGACTTTATGGAGAAATGTATCCACAAAGAAAACAAAATTACAATATTCCTTATCACTTGCGATAACAGGCATATGTTAAGATAGGTGATTTCGTCACAATTTTTACTAAGAAAACAACTATATAATAGCTTTCATACGTGGTAAAGGGTGATTATCATGCTTTGAGACGGGATAATTTTCGAAGGGCGTGGAATTTATTTTCATAGGCGCCATTTACCTGTACCCTTCTCCCTCCAGTTAAAGGCATCACTTTAGCTGGTCAATTGTATGGCTATCGTAGGACCCACGAACTAATAAATTAGCTTTGTCAATACCAGTTTTAGTCAGCGTTGTTTCTTGCTGTCATGTCTATTTCAAATAGTAAAGCTGATATCATTTCCAGATAAGTGTTCGTTGGCGAGGGATTTTTAAAAGAAGTAGAACCGAGGCAACCAAGAGCTTATATTGGGATTTACTGTCATTTCATAATACGAGATATCGCAACTCAATCGACTTTTATGTAGAATACGTATACAAAATGAAGGGTGAAAATCAGCTACCGACAGTTCAAGCGATACCCGCTCCGTAGGAAGCTTGTCAACCGTTAATGGTATAGGTTACATAAATTTTCAGTCTGTAAAGTTGGTTCTGGCTAATTCCATATCTCGGAGAAGGCTTTTGTGTTTGAGAGGACTAAAACGAGCTGTTCAGCAGTATGGAAAGCTCTCATAAGGTTGACGAAAGAATAAATACAAACGTAAGTTTTACGCATCGCAATTACCTGCAATCTTCAAAAACACTTCTAGAAAGAGGGTAATCAATTAGCAACTTTGTTGTGCAAGGATAGTGGGTGTTTGTAGAGGAGTAGATGAAGCAGAATTCGAACATCTCCCTACTACTCATCTTCAACTCAACAGATATACTCATTAATGGATGATAGGGTTCTAAACTTCACTTAGTACAAACAGAATTATATTGAGACTTTTTACTGACCTTAGCTAATGATCATACAATAGAGGACAATTAGTATAGAAGTGAGATAAACCAGATTGTACGCAATACTCAAGAGCGTGTCAGCTTTGTAGACCATGAAGTGATCTTCCACCTCTTGAAAGATCAATAGACAACTTAATTTCGTCCCTTAGTATCCGTTAAGCTGTGCCAGGTCCGTTGCTATTGGCAGGTTAGAAATCTCATACTCCACCTTAATTAACTGGGTGATTCTTGCCGCATAGAGGAATTAATTAATCGAGTTGGTTTGGATGTAGAAGTTATACGACACAATACGCATTCACAGTCAGTTGCCACAGTTTCAGCACGTTGTATACTTAGTATCTCATAATCATAACAATTGTAATCAACATCTGCACATGAATACATAGATTTGTAGTGCAAAGTTGTTTTTACTCTATATATCTTTAACTGCTTTTTTATATAAGCTCAGACTGAACGACCATGCAAGACGTCGAGACTACTCAGTTTCGATCGCTGGAATCCAGCAAAGTTAATTCGTTTGACAAACTTCATCTGTCAAACTGTGTTCGAATCTTGGCGAAACTGTTTATAAATAATGGGAAGAAACAAAAGTAGCAAGACGTTTCATTCCCAAGTTACTAGTAATATGTAATATATGTTGGAGGAAGAGCTTTTTCCGCTCGATCCTGATTGAGACAGGCAAATTATGATAATTGTTGCGAATTGGATAATAAGAGCACCCGCAAAACTGGCTGCAACATTTGAAGATGTTACTGATGCTCCGGCTGTTCAGTGGTATGAGTATTGTAGAGATATATGCGCAGTGAAAATGACAAGCTTACACAAGCCGTCTGGGGCAGTCAGGCGAATTGTTGAAATAGGCCAAACAGTTGTCGGAAAACGAAAATTCGACAGAAGACGTAGTGTTAAAGAAGAGTGGGTAAGTAGCACTTCCATAAATATACCTCACAGGTCCTTGGAATATACGACAGGTCATCAAAAAAGAGACACTTCTAACGGGTTAGAAACCAACAGACTTCAACAATAATGCCAATTATACGGGAATATCCGCAGCTGTGTACTACAATATGTACGGATGATTGGAGTATACCAGTGCTTACATAGATTTGGTTATGTACACCGTGTCGTTATCCACAAGCGGTATTTTGTTCACCCAACAACTGGAGTGCACACAAACAATATTAAAGTTATGTGGTCGAGGCTGAAAGTTTTTGATACCTTACCATGGCTTCAGAGGCCGACTATTATGGAGTAATATGGGTGACTTCCTCTACTGTATGCAATACAATTTCGGAACCTCTTGCTAACCTTAGAAAGTTTTTAGACCATGTAAAAGAAGTGTATCCACTATAATTCCTTGGTTTTTTATAATGTATTTTAACTCTATACTAACTGCTTTCTGATATGCTGATACTTATCAGGGTCACTTAAGATTTGTTCAAAGATCGTCTATAAATTATAGTCTCGCCATGTTTTATTATTTATTCACGATAATTAAGTTACAGCAATAAGTTCACTCTCAGTCAGTCAGTCAGCTACAACGTAGGACCAGACACATATGTGCATCGGTCCAGGTTGCCATACCGCATCAGCACAACAAGATGAACACCGGCTTCATAGCAGTGGTTAGGTCAAACGTGGTAATATATAAGAGAAAGATTGCATATAGAGATATAGTACAAGAAAAAATTGGTTTATAGAAAGAAAGATATGAAGCGATTTTAATCTCACAGTTTAAGGGAAGACAAAAAGTGTATACACCTACACCATTGTGATCGATTCTGAGCCATGTCACCAAGAGTCTCCAACCATTGGTTACGATAGTCACGCGGACCCCAACCAAATAGTCTGAATCTACCAACATGGCTCAGACTAGAAGTTAGTGACTTCAAGCACTGATGCCACGTTTTGGTTTGGCCGCCCCTAACTTTCTTCCAACCATCTCTGATACCGGATAGCATTGCACGTCGTGGTATTCAGGCATACGTAACACGTGGCCCAACCATCTCAGTCGATGAAGATCCATAACCTCATCAACTGATTTACCATCATTTCCTAATACCCTGCGTCTAACCTCACTATTACTTACCCGGTGATCCCAGCAATATTTCTGAGGCATCTGTGGTCAAATACTAACAGCTAATAAGGGTGCGATCGAAAAAGGAGAGCAGCACAATTGAGGAGTAGAATCTTTAAGGGTTTGGAAGTATTTTAGTTTACTCTATTTTTTCGCCCCTATGATCAATCAAAAAGGTGGTTTCTTAGACGTACAGTGAGGAGCATATTTTCAACTACGGTAATTTTCTGAATTTGGAAACAATTGGCTACTATTGTTATATCAGTTAGGCTATCTCATACATCGACTTCGAATAGCGATCGAAGAATCGAGGTGGCCTGTTTGGTAATTCGTATGAACTTTTACAGTAGAGAGGTTTAGACAGCCGAAAACATACACTATCTTACCAAGCCCCTATCATGTAACTGGAAATTCTTTCCTCTTACAGTTATCTAATATTCAGACGGTAAGTTTAGTGCAATCAACGAACTTGAAATTTGGTAAAGGCGGTCCAGGGGTCGGATCCGAAGTATTTTACGTAGACAACTGTTAGTAAACACTTGTATCTTCTGGATTTCGTAGTTCTCTAGGTTTCCGCCCCATACAGTAGAACTGTCTTCACATCTGTATTGGAAATTCTGACCTTGAAGTTGGTTGACAATTGTTTTGAGTTCCAGATGTTTTTCAGTTGTAAATATGCTGTTCTTGCTTTGCCGATCGGCGCTTTCACGTCTACATTAGATCCACCGTGTTCATCAGTGATGCTGTCCAGATATGTGAAGGTTTCTACATCTTCCAAGGCTTCTCCGTCAGGTGTGGTTAGATCGGTACATGCTGTGCTGTATCGGAGAATTTCGCTTTTCCCTTTGTGTATGTTTAGACGTACTGCTGCTACACTGGTAGTCTTCTCCTCAGCTCATCTTTATCAGTGTATGCCTTTATGGGCGAATACCATAATATCGGGACGGTAACTGCATTCGATGTAACAGAATATTCAGTCAGCGAAACGTGTAACCGATGGGCCAGTATTTAGATTGCTCAATCGTTGAATCACTCGGTCATTAGGTCCGGATTCTGGTTCACCGACTTTGGTTTGGACAGTTGGATGGTATCACTACGTCTTGCACAGTGTTACTCGAACTCAAGGCACAAAATTGTAGTCCCACCTATTCTATACTATACCTGGTGGGTTACATTATTGAAATACATCTATCACATCCAATAAACGCTGGAAATAATATGTAGCATTGATTTAGCTTGTTATGAAACAAAATAGTAAGGTACCCAAAGGTAGACATACAATACTGTTGAGCCATTGAAATACTATAATAATATAAGCTATAAGTTTGCAGAATAATTATGGAGTAACATTATTGAAGTCAAAGGTGATAGTTGACTGGATTTTATTCTTAAATATATCAAATACTTGTACACAGCTCGAAACGATCATGGCAAGAAAATCCTAAACCAACAGGTTTAAATTTTAATATCTTGACCAAGGATAAGTATTCCAATCAGCATCAAAACGATTGCAGTTTGGCTGCTTAAGAGTTCCATCGGGGTTTCTTCTAGACTCAAGTGAATGAGTTATTGCTTTGTCTAATCGCGAAAGACCACTATAACGATATTCATTTCCATCTTGATTAAGTTTGTATTTGTAGTGTGAAGTGAAAAACTCCTTGAAGAAGTCATGATTGGCCCATCTTTTGTTGTGCCACCTTCTTAGGTATGCACTGCTTAGATATCTGAAATTTTCTTCATTAGAATGTAATAAAGCCTATAGAGGAAAAAAGTGTTTAGCAAAACAAAGTGCAATAAATTTATGAAATGTGGATCACAGTTTAAAGTTTTTGACATTTTCCTAAGCATCTTAGAATCAAACGGAGATTATGCCAACCTTTCAATTAAGTTTGATCATACAACTGGGTTCTTATAACTAAAATTAGGTTCTTTTTGTTGTTTAGTAACAATTTCTACAGGATTTTCTTAAGTGAGATAAACCTGATTAAGTGCAATTTTAGCGACTTTGTCTTTTATAGACAACTTACGTTGGTAAGAAAAACCCACTGTTTATGAGGCATATATACCGTATGATGAATTGTGGACTTAAAATAGTACATCCATTAAAAGTGAAATGTCACTGAGGCTTAGAAGTTAGAGCCGATATTTTTCATGTACAAGTATGATGAAGAGGTATATCAAATCAGACTGCTACAAAAATCGCTGATGGTCAATATATACTGGGAAAAATATCTCCAGTGTTTGATAACCAGGAAATCTATCCGAGTATGTATGAGACCTAGGCAAAATTTCACGTCTAACATAAAACCCAACCATTTTTTGAAATGTCTATATATACCAACCTGAAAATTTCGAATAAAAGTTAAGCTTACTTCATGAACTTTTCAAATAGGAACTACATAGGTCTCAGTATCATCCTTCAATTGCTTGATGTACTGGAAAATGTAACTTCAAACTACTATCTATCAAAGTGAATATTATTCTTATATCCTGATGACCCCCAATGCCCTGGTACGGCCGAGAATGGGGAAAGTCTGCTCTCCCTCTCGATATGCTCTCATATGGCCACGCATATATAGCCTCTGCCAGGGAAGTCCTACTCACTGCCTTCTCGTGGCGGGGGAGGCACCAAATACATATGCACCACACAAATCTCATTCGACATGTGTGAGGGCTGTGATACTGACCGGGTGCCCAAACCGAATCAGGTGGTCTTCTTAGGGGGCCACTCCCGAGCCTTCGACCTAAAGGTCTGAACCACAAGGCAGTGGAGCATCGTAAGGAGATGCAGTCCCATGGATGCTGGTGACCAACAATTGGTTCATACGCAATTTGTTCCCTCAGGATACTGGAGCCCATGTGCACCATTGGTTTGGAATCCGGTTAAAGCACCGGACATTCGCTTTTCGTCCTCTCATTTTCGTAAACAACACCCCCGCCACGAGAAGGCAGTGAGTAGGACTTCCCTGGCAGAGACTATATACGTGTGGCCATATGAGAGCATTTCGATAGGGAGAGCGGACTCTCCCCACTCTCGGCCGTACCAGGGCATTTGAGGGCCATCAGGATATAAGAATAATATTCACTTTGATAGATGTTGTTTACAAAAATGAGAGGACGAAAAGCGAATGTCCGGTGCTTTAACCGGATTCCAAATCAACGGTGCATATGGGCTCCAGTATCCTGAGGGAACAAATGGCGTATGAACGAATTGTTGGTCACCAGCATTCACGGGACTGCATCTCCTTACGATGCTCCACTGCCTTGCGGATCAGACCTTCAGGTCGAAGGCTCGGGAGTGGCCCCCTAAGAAAACCACCTGATTCGGTTTGGGCACCCGGTCAGTATCACAGCCCTCACACATGTCGAATGAGATTTGTGTGGCGCATATGTATTTGGTGCCTCCTTGTACCAATATCTATGTGTTAAAATAAATAAATATCCTGATATATGCATTTAGTCAACAAATAGGTTTAGTAATTAAAGAATTTAGTATTCCACTTCTGAAATGGAGATTCGAAAACGCTCCACAGCATTTCGGGCTGCTGTGTATTATTATTAGTTCACATAATACAGATGTGGCTCAAGACTGAGTACACAAACCCGTCATAGGCAAACGAGTATACGTTAATTTTTCAAAGTGTAAGACATACTTCGTTATACGTCCTTTGCGTAACTAGATCACTCTTCAAACAGCTTTGCATTTCGAAGATGTAGAGTTAAGTGATAAATACTTACTGTACCACTGAGTGAACTAAGGAGGAAACAAGTAACGAAACTAACTTTTAAATCATAAGGTCGATTAGGATTGTACACCGATAGGTTTGTTTGGTTCGGTTCTGAAGAATCCAATAACTGAGAATCAACAGAAAGACCCCGATGTCTGAAAAATCTGCCATCTGGAAGCAGTCTACAGGCAAGTAAATCAGATTCAGTTGGTAACCCGTTCTCGAAAATAACAGGCTGTATCCGAATAAGATGTTTTATCTCGTATAAATCTCGGTTGACTGATGGAGTATTCTTAACGACTACCCAGTTGTGATTCTAAAAACATGAAATAATGTATTACATTACTTTTGTGTCCTTTCCAAGACCATATTTTTCAAGGATGGCTCTCTGGTAGTGAATAACTCCCTTCATAGGCTTTAGCCGACAGATCATATGCAGTAAAGGAGGTTCCTTCGATTGGTTGAGCAATTGTTGAGGTTCTTGCATTCGGAATAGACGTTTAGCCCATCCAAGTGGATTTTTTTATCATCACTCCAAGGGAGTGGTTTCGGTTCCTTCGTATATGACATGGTGTTGTGAGGTAAAGAAACATGAAGTGATCGACAACCGGTCACCAAATTATAAGCCCAAAGTCGGTTCATTATAAGAAGGTAGGTTTATTGTGAATGTGTAGTCGTCTGAGTAGTACGATCTGAGGTGAAAAAGTACCATACATAATGACCCAGTAGAAATATGTCTAATTCAGAATACTTAGAGTACAAGGTCGAAGTATTTTGAATAACCGAAGTACCAGCTTATTCTAAGACGTAGGTTTTGGAGAGTATGGGAAAGGAACTATCTTTTTGTGAACTTCGTGAAGGTCAGATTCAATAAAGTCCTCATCAACAATAAATCCTGTCCACCAAATAAGTTGACCGAGTGGAGAGAGAAACTAAACACGGAGTAATCGGTACTATATATATTCACAGATAATAAACATGGACTTTTGTTCTAGTTTCTACAATGGATGCCACTACAAAGAAAATACGTTGGCAAGTCTAGGGACAGCGTGGAGACACTGATGCTAAATGCACGACAAAAATTATGTTAAAACTGAGAACGGAACCGGATGGCGTATATGATTCAACAGGAGATGAAAGTACGTGGACACTTCTACGACCGGTTTTGAGTCGTCACACAAATGCCAACAATGATTTTAAATTTCACGTGGATTACGACTGGGGAGCCAACATTCCCATAGATGAATTCCGCCATTATAGGTTGGTCGAATGACTTTGACTAGTGCACTATTTCTCATACTACCACTGTATCAGTTAATATTTCTAGCTGAGTTAATCCGGTGAAACACGCCGCACGTATCTTTACCTTTACTGTCTGTCAAAAGGGCTTACAGAAATATACGAAGTCTAAAGGTTTGTAACTGTTTGAGAAGTGACTACAATCCCTAGGATGATTAAGGTATCAAGATCTAATAAGATCACATTCTCTTAATTAACGGTGTGAATACGGCTACTCTGGTGAAAAATCTCAGAGAATATTTGATCGGGCTAAAGATTTTGGCCACGAGGGTAAACTATACGGGATAAATTATTAAAACTCATTATTTTGCACATTATTTCCCACGTGAACAAATGCAGACAATACTGGCCTTAACCGTCCTAATAAAAATATGGGGGAATACATTATAAATTTACGGTTATTAGAGGGGACTTGTAGTTTTTGAGAAAGCTGTTTCCACTATAGTGGAACAGACTTGATAAACTCATAAAGACGGTAGTAGTAAAAGTGACCCATCACAAAAACTTATCTCTACAGTTGTCAGCAACTAAGTTTAGTTGTGCAAGTGTGTCTTTAGAATACCTCATATAATACCTTGTGAAGTCTGGTACTATCCCTTTAGTTGACCATGAGCGCTATAAATTGAGGCTGAATGTTTCAATGGCACCAATATATTAGTGATGAGCTAGTACAGACCAGCAGATTTATTAACACTCACTAGTTGATGTTATGGTGTTTTATTGTGGTAAACTGTAATGCTCGATATGCTGCACGTCGTTGTTGGGTTTACTCTTATCTTTCTGTCATATAGCGGCTACAATTTTAAATGGCGAAGTTGGTCATCGTACGGTTTGTCTCTGAATCCCATGATCCTCTTAGTGGCCCACTGAAATAGTTGTTCCAATAGCTTCATATTCCTTTTGTGAAAGACGGTGCAGAACTGTTGTTGATATTTAGATTTAGGTGAGTGTATGTCTTGAATAGTGACAGTAAGAGCCTCGGAACCAACAGTCCTGGTTACCTCCAGGTAAAGTGGGCAGTAACCATGTATCAGAAAGGAGTATTTCTTGACTCTCCTATCTGGGCCATAGGTCTATGTATTTTCGTTGTACAATATTGATTTACGGTGGCACGTGGTGGGTTTGTGAAGAGGTTGTGGTTTAGGTGATTTTTGTCGATTTTGTGAGAGCTCTTCGATGCAAGTTTTCCCGGGTACGACAGGTCCAGTTGGCAAGGATTTACTCTCGATGCCCTTGATCATGCGCTGTTTAACAAGGCCAACTGACATGGTAGTATATTCTGTTTGACTGCACAGCTTTTGCCCTAGTCCGCTCGAGTCAGGGTCTCTGTGGGGACAATTTGGACTGCCTCTGTGCAAGCTTTATTGACAAATGTGGACATGGGTGTCTTTTAGATACATGAGATCGTGTATTTCAATCTCATCCAGAATACTGGGGAATACTTTCTGAAATACAAGCATAAATGCCATAGCCACGGACTTGAGTGACCTAGGACCAACTATAATCCTCACTGCTTAATAAGGTAGGCGTTTGTGTGTTGTGATCAGTATTTCTGTAACGAGACAGTGTTGATGATGTCACAGGTATTCAGTGTTTGACAACGCTTCTACCAGTAACACCTTCTAATGAATTTCGTTCCCACCCAGAGAAATCACAAGACAGAGTCGAGGAGATCGGAAGAGTATATTTGGCGATGACCAATATATCGGAATTCTCTGATCTAATCTGGCTAGCGATTGCGGTTGATGTTGAGCACGGCGTTACCACACGTGATCTGGTACGGATGCCTGACCGAGCGCCTTCAGCTAGATGAGTCCACTAAAACATATGGTCAGCATCCAATGTCGAAAACTTAGTGCTATTTATTTTGGGGATTTATTTACCGCTACAGATCACTCCCCCCTAGTGGGGCAGTGACGACCCTAAGACGTGGCCAGCCAGAAGTTTAAACCCAACGAGTTTGTCGTTGGTAAACACTCTTCTGATAGCTTACTAAGTGTAGCAGCGTCTGGTCGTCTTTCCTTACTATATGGGACCGAGGCACAACATAGTAAAAAAAAGAAAGAGTTACAACGAAAATTTCGACTTCTCGTTAACTGAATCGTTCTTTTCCAGTCGTCCTGGAAAAGAAAAAAGAAAGTGTTAGTGCATGACGAAATACACTCGTATGTGCGTAAAAACACAATGTCGGCGAAAAAATGGAAAATATACTCAAGCACACGTAATAGCGTTAAAAAAATGTTTTTTTTAATTTTTTTGTCTGCTTTTTAAAAAAAATTGTAAATATATAAGCATATTAAAATTGTTTTTTTTAATATTATAAATCTTAAAAAGAAAGATCGAGATAATATAAAATGTCGAGTAGTGCCTTACGTGCAGTAGTCGTTTAAATGTTCTGAAAATTTTACTCTTCTTCCAGAACGCGTCGTTTTAGGTTTTGTTATATCCGAGTGGAGATTAAATTACAGGTAACTTCCGAGGGCTATTCATGGATAATATTCTATAAATATTTTTATTGTATAACTACTCAACAATTACACTATGTATATTTATATCCCTCTTATGACAAGCTTTATTTTGGCCTATAATTTATTATTGTACGATTTACGGTTCTTAAGTTATGTTCAGTTTATTAACTACTGCCTCCCATATTTACAGCCACTTTCTGGGCTTATTTGTGTACAAATATTATTTCCTATTTTATGGTACGATGTGGTGTGCTTGATTGGTATATAAACAAAGTATGTTTGAAATATAATGATTCATATCTCCGAGGCTGTGACTTGTGTTCTGGACTCAACTGACTGGGCTAGACAGGGGAGTGAGACCAATAGAGACTCTAGGCCGTCCGTACGTGTTTACGTGTCATTGAATCGATCGATAAGTACGCTGCTCTCTAATTTTCCAGTAAAGGACACAACAATTAGCACAGGATAAAAATCGACCACAACTTAAATTCATAACAATTGGCGACGGGGTGGAGAAAAATTTTGAACCTTGTAATTGGACGAGATTCAGGCTAATTGTTTCGACCAATCAGCATCCAGATTGTCACCAGCGTCCTTGAGCAACATTGGTCATTATTCCTACAGTTAATTTTCATTGCAGGTGCTGAAAAAAATGACTACCTTTTCCGATCGATTACAGCTTCTACTTGAGCAACAACAGCAGTGCTTCAAAAATAGCCAGTTAAATTTTTTAGAAAATTTACGCACACTGTTGGTAAATCTTCCATGTTTCGGAGATGCAACAGAAGTTGGCAAGTTCATTTCTCATCTGCAGACTGAGCTGGAAAACAACTGCAGAACATATGAAGCTGTTTATAAAAGCCTCTGTGAATCCCGGACGACCAGTGATGTAAACGAGACAGTTATTCATGATCCGCCCAGTTGTCCAGAAATGTCAAATTCCGAAACATTCCCTGTTGTGGGTTCAAATCCCACTGTGCCTGAAACATGTGAGGTATCCAGCTTACAAGAAGAACCTCTCGTGCCAGGAAATGTTTCCCGTGCATCAAATAATGGTCAGAAATCTAATATGAATTTCAAAGATGCTGTTTGTTTTAGTGACCTATTATCCAGTGATAGAATTTTGAAGAGGTCTGAAGAATATGTTGCACAAGAATCAAACCTTAATGACCTCATGTCTGGTGTCGCTAATCCTCATCACCTAGTCAGTTTTAGTGAACCCTCTACTCAATGCGCGAAATATGCTTTAATTCGAATCAGACTAACTGTTACTTGGGTATATGAGGACCCAACGTTATTTCGTGGGGGAGGATGAACCCAGAAAATTTCAAAATCCGGATATCAACTCCGGGTCTTCAAAAAAAAGGGGAGGTGTTGTGGATGCGGAGGAATAGACCAATAATTATCATGTTAAGTCCAATGGTGTCCTTGGACTTCAAATGCACATTTCCTATTGGTCGATATCTGTTCACTTGTTGAATATTGTACAAAATGTTGTTTTCTATTTTATGGTACGATGTGGTATGCTTGATTGGTGTATAAAAAAGTATGTTTGAAATATAATGATTCATATCTCCGAGGCTGTGACTTGTGTTCTGGTCTCAACTGACTGGGCTAGACAGGGAAGCGAGACCAATCGAGACTCTAGGCCGTCCGTACGTGTTTACGTGTCATTGAATCGGTCGATAAGTACGCTGCTCTCTAATTTTCTAGTCAAGGACACAACAATTAGCACAGGGTAAAAATCAACCACAACTTAAATTCATAACAATTGGCGACGGGGTGGAGAAAAATTTTGAACCTTGTAATTGGACGAGATTCAGGCTAATTGTTTCGACCAATCAGCATCCAGATTGTCACCAGCGTCCTTGAGCAGCATTGGTCATTATTCCTACAGTTAATTTTCATTGCAGGTGCTGAAAAAAATGACTACCTTTTCCGATCGACTACAGCTTCTACTTGAGCAACAACAGCAGTGCTTCAAAAATAGCCAGTTAAATTTTTTAGAAAATTTACGCACACTGTTGGTAAATCTTCCATGTTTCGGAGATGCAACAGAAGTTGGCAAGTTCATTTCTCATCTGCAGACTGAGCTGGAAAACAACTGCAGAACATATGAAGCTGTTTATAAAAGCCTCTGTGAATCCCGGACGACCAGTGATGTAAACGAGACAGTTATTCATGATCCGCCCAGTTGTCCAGAAATGTCAAATTCCGAAACATTCCCTGTTGTGGGTTCAAATCCCACTGTGCCTGAAACATGTGAGGTATCCAGCTTACAAGAAGAACCTCTCGTGCCAGGAAATGTTTCCCGTGCATCAAATAATGGTCAGAAATCTAATATGAATTTCAAAGATGCTGTTTGTTTTAGTGACCTATTATCCAGTGATAGAATTTTGAAGAGGTCTGAAGAATATGTTGCACAAGAATCAAACCTTAATGACCTCATGTCTGGTGTCGCTAATCCTCATCACCTAGTCAGTTTTAGTGAACCCTCTACTCAATGCGCGAAATATGCTTTAATTCGAATCAGACTAACTGTTACTTGGGTATATGAGGACCCAACGTTATTTCGTGGGGGAGGATGAACCCAGAAAATTTCAAAATCCGGATATCAACTCCGGGTCTTCAAAAAAAAGGGGAGGTGTTGTGGATGCGGAGGAATAGACCAATAATTATCATGTTAAGTCCAATGGTGTCCTTGGACTTCAAATGCACATTTCCTATTGGTCGATATCTGTTCACTTGTTGAATATTGTACAAAATGTTGTTTTCTATTTTATGGTACGATGTGGTATGCTTGATTGGTGTATAAAAAAGTATGTTTGAAATATAATGATTCATATCTCCGAGGCTGTGACTTGTGTTCTGGTCTCAACTGACTGGGCTAGACAGGGAAGCGAGACCAATCGAGACTCTAGGCCGTCCGTACGTGTTTACGTGTCATTGAATCGGTCGATAAGTACGCTGCTCTCTAATTTTCTAGTCAAGGACACAACAATTAGCACAGGGTAAAAATCAACCACAACTTAAATTCATAACAATTGGCGACGGGGTGGAGAAAAATTTTGAACCTTGTAATTGGACGAGATTCAGGCTAATTGTTTCGACCAATCAGCATCCAGATTGTCACCAGCGTCCTTGAGCAGCATTGGTCATTATTCCTACAGTTAATTTTCATTGCAGGTGCTGAAAAAAATGACTACCTTTTCCGATCGACTACAGCTTCTACTTGAGCAACAACAGCAGTGCTTCAAAAATAGCCAGTTAAATTTTTTAGAAAATTTACGCACACTGTTGGTAAATCTTCCATGTTTCGGAGATGCAACAGAAGTTGGCAAGTTCATTTCTCATCTGCAGACTGAGCTGGAAAACAACTGCAGAACATATGAAGCTGTTTATAAAAGCCTCTGTGAATCCCGGACGACCAGTGATGTAAACGAGACAGTTATTCATGATCCGCCCAGTTGTCCAGAAATGTCAAATTCCGAAACATTCCCTGTTGTGGGTTCAAATCCCACTGTGCCTGAAACATGTGAGGTATCCAGCTTACAAGAAGAACCTCTCGTGCCAGGAAATGTTTCCCGTGCATCAAATAATGGTCAGAAATCTAATATGAATTTCAAAGATGCTGTTTGTTTTAGTGACCTATTATCCAGTGATAGAATTTTGAAGAGGTCTGAAGAATATGTTGCACAAGAATCAAACCTTAATGACCTCATGTCTGGTGTCGCTAATCCTCATCACCTAGTCAGTTTTAGTGAACCCTCTACTCAATGCGCGAAATATGCTTTAATTCGAATCAGACTAACTGTTACTTGGGTATATGAGGACCCAACGTTATTTCGTGGGGGAGGATGAACCCAGAAAATTTCAAAATCCGGATATCAACTCCGGGTCTTCAAAAAAAAGGGGAGGTGTTGTGGATGCGGAGGAATAGACCAATAATTATCATGTTAAGTCCAATGGTGTCCTTGGACTTCAAATGCACATTTCCTATTGGTCGATATCTGTTCACTTGTTGAATATTGTACAAAATGTTGTTTTCTATTTTATGGTACGATGTGGTATGCTTGATTGGTGTATAAAAAAGTATGTTTGAAATATAATGATTCATATCTCCGAGGCTGTGACTTGTGTTCTGGTCTCAACTGACTGGGCTAGACAGGGAAGCGAGACCAATCGAGACTCTAGGCCGTCCGTACGTGTTTACGTGTCATTGAATCGGTCGATAAGTACGCTGCTCTCTAATTTTCTAGTCAAGGACACAACAATTAGCACAGGGTAAAAATCAACCACAACTTAAATTCATAACAATTGGCGACGGGGTGGAGAAAAATTTTGAACCTTGTAATTGGACGAGATTCAGGCTAATTGTTTCGACCAATCAGCATCCAGATTGTCACCAGCGTCCTTGAGCAGCATTGGTCATTATTCCTACAGTTAATTTTCATTGCAGGTGCTGAAAAAAATGACTACCTTTTCCGATCGACTACAGCTTCTACTTGAGCAACAACAGCAGTGCTTCAAAAATAGCCAGTTAAATTTTTTAGAAAATTTACGCACACTGTTGGTAAATCTTCCATGTTTCGGAGATGCAACAGAAGTTGGCAAGTTCATTTCTCATCTGCAGACTGAGCTGGAAAACAACTGCAGAACATATGAAGCTGTTTATAAAAGCCTCTGTGAATCCCGGACGACCAGTGATGTAAACGAGACAGTTATTCATGATCCGCCCAGTTGTCCAGAAATGTCAAATTCCGAAACATTCCCTGTTGTGGGTTCAAATCCCACTGTGCCTGAAACATGTGAGGTATCCAGCTTACAAGAAGAACCTCTCGTGCCAGGAAATGTTTCCCGTGCATCAAATAATGGTCAGAAATCTAATATGAATTTCAAAGATGCTGTTTGTTTTAGTGACCTATTATCCAGTGATAGAATTTTGAAGAGGTCTGAAGAATATGTTGCACAAGAATCAAACCTTAATGACCTCATGTCTGGTGTCGCTAATCCTCATCACCTAGTCAGTTTTAGTGAACCCTCTACTCAATGCGCGAAATATGCTTTAATTCGAATCAGACTAACTGTTACTTGGGTATATGAGGACCCAACGTTATTTCGTGGGGGAGGATGAACCCAGAAAATTTCAAAATCCGGATATCAACTCCGGGTCTTCAAAAAAAAGGGGAGGTGTTGTGGATGCGGAGGAATAGACCAATAATTATCATGTTAAGTCCAATGGTGTCCTTGGACTTCAAATGCACATTTCCTATTGGTCGATATCTGTTCACTTGTTGAATATTGTACAAAATGTTGTTTTCTATTTTATGGTACGATGTGGTATGCTTGATTGGTGTATAAAAAAGTATGTTTGAAATATAATGATTCATATCTCCGAGGCTGTGACTTGTGTTCTGGTCTCAACTGACTGGGCTAGACAGGGAAGCGAGACCAATCGAGACTCTAGGCCGTCCGTACGTGTTTACGTGTCATTGAATCGGTCGATAAGTACGCTGCTCTCTAATTTTCTAGTCAAGGACACAACAATTAGCACAGGGTAAAAATCAACCACAACTTAAATTCATAACAATTGGCGACGGGGTGGAGAAAAATTTTGAACCTTGTAATTGGACGAGATTCAGGCTAATTGTTTCGACCAATCAGCATCCAGATTGTCACCAGCGTCCTTGAGCAGCATTGGTCATTATTCCTACAGTTAATTTTCATTGCAGGTGCTGAAAAAAATGACTACCTTTTCCGATCGACTACAGCTTCTACTTGAGCAACAACAGCAGTGCTTCAAAAATAGCCAGTTAAATTTTTTAGAAAATTTACGCACACTGTTGGTAAATCTTCCATGTTTCGGAGATGCAACAGAAGTTGGCAAGTTCATTTCTCATCTGCAGACTGAGCTGGAAAACAACTGCAGAACATATGAAGCTGTTTATAAAAGCCTCTGTGAATCCCGGACGACCAGTGATGTAAACGAGACAGTTATTCATGATCCGCCCAGTTGTCCAGAAATGTCAAATTCCGAAACATTCCCTGTTGTGGGTTCAAATCCCACTGTGCCTGAAACATGTGAGGTATCCAGCTTACAAGAAGAACCTCTCGTGCCAGGAAATGTTTCCCGTGCATCAAATAATGGTCAGAAATCTAATATGAATTTCAAAGATGCTGTTTGTTTTAGTGACCTATTATCCAGTGATAGAATTTTGAAGAGGTCTGAAGAATATGTTGCACAAGAATCAAACCTTAATGACCTCATGTCTGGTGTCGCTAATCCTCATCACCTAGTCAGTTTTAGTGAACCCTCTACTCAATGCGCGAAATATGCTTTAATTCGAATCAG